TGAGTGTAACTCTTATCTGTTGAGAGCCAGTACAGTCAAGCATGGACCCTGTTCTCCAGGCAGATTCTACACTGTAGTTATAATTTATCTATACCCAGTAAACAGCCCTCAGCTGCTCAGAGATCTGGGGAATATGGCATTTAAATGCTTAATTATAAAAAAACACAACTTTCATAACAAAAAAGAGACAAGTTGGCTCAAAGCAGCAACACTCTGTTTCCTCCAAAGAAGACAGAAGACAAATGGTCTCAAAATATTGTCCATCCGCAATTTGCTTCAACTGCCAAGCACTGACCACTGGGAAAAACTTCCTTTCATCTAAACTGAAGATCTCCAGACAGTGGGCAGATTTGATGGAATTGGCAGCCTAGCTGCTCAGGTCAAGGTAGGCCTCTCTTCCTACAGATTTCTTAGCCCAGAGGATCTTCTGGAGCCTGGCAGGCCCTGTGCTAAACAGCAAAAGAAGAATATGACTCTCAGCAACCATGGAGGGCCCTAAGGAGTAGCTCTAGGTGCCAACCAAGTAAGTTCTCTGTTGTTTTTCAATCAAAAACTCCTCAAGTAAGATTTTATCCTTCTCGAAGATTTCTGATGCAGTTTGACAGCTGAGAGGTTTTGTCATTTAAAAGGACAACTTCACCAAACAAATTTTATTAAGATACAAGTTAATGAAATTTTCTCTCACACTGCCTTTCATAGTCTTAAAGATACTTTTCATTGTGCAAAAATATCTGTCACAGTCATTCTGATATAGATATGCTGCTGTTTAAAACTTATGTTTTCACAAATCCCCCCCAAAAATTCTTGTGAGTTCCAGGGAGCCGAATTGAAGGATCCACCTTAAAGAGGTCAGATTACACTCCTCTCATTTCCCTGGTCCTAATTTTTTTTCCTAAGCTTAACTTTGTCCTCTGTTCTGCCATTATCTTGAACAGGTGTAAGAGACACCAAACATTTCCATACCACAAACACTGGACAGGAGCAAAGAGACCAGCTACACCAGGATGTGACCAGCACCCAGCGTTCTCAAGTTCCCCCAAAAGACAACACCCACAAATAAGCAGGAAGCAGTCTTGAGAATTTGCCGCCCCAATGCCTTTAACCTGTGGTGCCTAACCTCCCTCCTTTTTATTATAAAAAAGCGATGGAAATGTAATGGTCTGTCCTGTCTCTTTAAGCGACAAGCCACGCCTACTCCCCCCCATCAGTCTGCTGAGGCAGGCAGATCTTCCTTCCTGCTTTCAGCCTGAGTCCCTTTCTTTTTTGTCTCCTTCTTGAAGAGGCAGCTTTGGTCTCTTCCTTCTCTCTCTCTCTCTCTCTCTCTCTCTCTCTCTCTCTCTCTTTCTCTCTCTCTGCTCTTCTCCCCCTTCCCTTCCATAGCCCACTAAATAAATATCCAACCTCACTCTGCATGGCATACCTATTGATCTATCTCTTGTCAGCCATGTGGCTCACGCCCAGGACCAGCCGCCTCCAGAGACCTTTGGCATGGTCTCGGAGACCTGCAAGTTGTGGTCTTGTGCACCATCCCTGCCTGGGACTGGCTGCTCTGGAGCCCGCTGCCTGTTCCCGCTCAGGGACCTGCAGCGTGGTCTCATGGCCTGCTGCCCACTGCAGCCCCTCAGGATCCGCAGCATTTTTACTTTTACCATTACAAGTAGGTATAGCTGATGTAGCAGAACTCTAAGGAGAATGAGAAGCTGGAGGAGGGAAGCCTGTGGGAGGAGGGGGGACTTTAGAGTAGGGCAGAGGTGAGAGGGGCTAGGATGCTAGCATGGACTGTGAAATGTGTAGCAGGTAATGAGATACTGAGGGAGCCTGGAAGCCAGCGTGCACTTTGGTGTGCCAGTAAGTAGCCATTTATCCCTTCCACCAAAAATAAGAGAAATGACTCCTTTTGGTAGAGGGGAACTGACTTCACAATTTCCTGAGGATGCTGTGTTATGGTCTGCTGGCCTGGCCTGTCACCTGGGTACCCTGTCCCTTTAAGACAAGTCCCGCCTACTCCAACCCTCCCCTTCTGCCTCCCCCAGTCTATGCTCTCTCTTTTTCCATCTTTCTTCTGGGGGTAACTACTGTCTCTCCTCCCTGCCTTTCTTGTCTTAATCCCCCTTCCCTTTCCCCTCTATAACCCACTAAATAAACTATGCCCAAACTCTCTGCATGACGTGTCTTTCTGTCTCTCACCTGCCTAGGTCTCCCACCCATCAAGGCCACAGGGGACTCTCACGAGGCCTGGGGGACCCACCGAGGTCTCAGGTTGCCTGCCACTACCCCTCGTGGGACCAGCTGCCCCTTTGGGACTGACAGCCCCTCCCTCATCCTTATATCTTTAGAAAAGAACAACATGCTGGCTTTTGTCTAACCCCTAGCATTTGGGAAATGGAGTTTCCTTTTCAGCTCCTACATGACAGTTGATCATATTATTCATTTACAGCTAAGTGTGTTCCTTATGACACACTTGCTTCAAACATTCTATTTCATAAGAGTTGAATTTGCAGGTTGATTTCAAGAATTAGGAAGCCCCCCCCCCAAAAAAAAGAATTAGGAAGCCCCGCCTCCCGGCCCCCAACTGTGAACTGCACAGCCCTGAAGTCACAGAGGACAGTTGTCATCAGCATGATCAAATCATCCAGATGAAGGATGTGGACGTCAGCCTGTTCACAAGAACTCTGCACTCTCAAATCGTTCTCCTGTTGTTCTCAGGTGCCCTCGGGTTTCATGTCCTGTTAATTCAGGAGCAGGTCTGTCTTTGCGGGGGGGGGGGGGGGCCCAGGCCACACAGCTGCCAAGGCCGGCAGCGCAGGGTTTCAGGAAAAGCCATAAACTGTCACCACCCAGGGAGGGCCAGCCCTAAAGATAAGTACCTGACATTCCAACCATTAGATAATATTAGATCAGACCCTGAGTCCAGGACTCACCTATTCCCCTTTTGTCAAGCCCCTAGACAAATGTCAGCCAATCAGGGTCCTGAACCTTGGAAATCCCCTCACCCCAACCTCTACTATGATAAAAACAAAAACCCTACCCTGCCTGGGCTTGGCACTCTCTGCTCTCAACTGCTCTGTTGGACAGAGCAGAGTCCAGGCTTAAGATTGAATGAAGGCTCTCTGCTTTCACATACGAGTGCAGAGTCCGTGATCTGGCTGTAATTATCTTCACTGTTTATCTCTTCCCAGTGCAGGCATCCCAGTGCACAAGGACCATGGGAAAGTCTCACTGCTGTCTTTGGGGAGTGTTGTGTCTTCAAGTGCCCTGAACTGCCATTCATTGCTCGGCTGGGCTGTATGGACTCCACATGGTGGTGGAAGGATGACTTGTCCTTCCCAAGTCACTTTTTGACCCTTGTGCTCATAGACCATCTATCCAGGGGACCAAGAATATCTTGGTCCTGTGAGCATCTGCCAACAGTCATAGCACGAAACAGACAGTCCCCAGGACACAGTCACCGTCCCACGCACTGCCTTCCAAAGGGCAGGGTCAGCTGCACTTGCCACGCCTCTCCTTTCCAATCTCTAGTGACAGAGTCCACTTGGCCCTTGGGCTTCCATCCTGCGTCACTAACTTGGGTATCATATACTGTCCGTAGGCAGATGACTCCAAAGGGAATGTGTGTCCACGGGCAGGTGACCCCAAAGGCAATTCGCTCCACGTTTGTTCATCAGTTCCTCAATCCTAACACAATCTGACCCAGACCCTACCTTTCCCTCCCAAGCCTGCCCCATCCTAGCACATTCTCATCTTAGCAAAAGTAAGAGTTCATCCTTGCGACTGTTCCTTCAGTGTTGTATCGGATGTGGGGTGACAGAAGTGACAGGGACTCACACTGCTGATGGGTGGCTGATCTTCCTTGTCCGCTTGACTGCACTGTGAGTCACCTAGGATGCCAGGAAAGCCCACCTCTGGATGAGATCATTTACGGAGAGGATTAACTAAAGGGGAAAGACACCCCGAGTGTGTGCAGCATTGCCCATGGACTGGAGCCCAGATGGAAATGCAGGTGAGGAGGAGGGAGGACCCGCATACCTTCTTTGTTTGTGGTCATCGATGAGGTTCACTGCTCTGCCCTGTCACAACATGCACCGCCACTGTGATGGCCAAGGAAACACTATTTTATGCCAGGCATTCATCTTGGTACCCACTGGCCATTTGTCTCTGCCTTCAGTCCCTGGAAAATAAGTTCTTAGTAACCCTGACTCAGTGACCTCCACCCAGAGATGTGCAACTGTATCATCTGCTTGTTATTGATGACTATGTGATGAATTGCTTTCTGGCTTCTGTAACCTGCTTGTGCCGATAGCCAAGGACTATTTTGAGGTTGCCTTGACTGCCTAATCTTGGCCGAGCAGAACAACTCCTTGTGAGATACTCAAGGTCTTCTTGTGGGTTTTGCCTTTAACAAACCTTCCCTTGCCCCCTTCTTGTGAAAACCTCAAGTTTGTCTCAGAGATTGTTGTCCTGCTATCAGCTAATCAATAAATCTTTTAATTATAGTTAGGTTGAATCTATAGTCTTTCCCCAGGGGTCAGGTCCGTAACACCATGATGTCGTGCCCACACATAAGGTCAAATGACCGTGGTTGAAACACTCTGAAATCATGAGCTAAAATAAATTCTTCCCCTTTTAAGTTGATATCAACAGTTGGGTACATGGCGGGGTGGGGTGGGGTGGGGGGGGGTCGCGCAAAGATGGGAGATGAATTACCAAAGTCTATTAAACAAGAAGCAAACTTTATTCTAGAAAAAGAAAAAAATCTCCATGGGGCACAGAAAGCTTCTCAGCTGTAGCTGTGAGCACAGCCAGAGATGGGCTTGTATGGCTGTGGCAACGGGCTGTTTCTGACCTCCCCTTTCTATAGAGAGGAGCAAGCATTAGGTAGGAACAAAAGAATGTTTAAGATCTCAAGGTAAACTCAGATACACATTGCCTTTATTTATTTATTTATTTATTTATTTACAATTTCCATTAACAAAATTTTTTAGTTAAACTAGTGTTTGTATTTAGTCCATTGTTTCTCTCTGGCACTTCCTGATGGTGTTACCAAAGCTCTACCCTCCCCTGATACTGCCAGCTTTGCCTAGCAGGAAAGGGTATGAGAAAATGCACAACCAAAAAGCCAGGTACACCCCATCATTTAAAGTTAACTCAGCTCACATCAGTTGCTGGACATGAGTAGTCAGGGGTTATCTAAAAGCTGACCCTCAGTTTGCAGAGGGCCGCTTCAGCCTTGCAGACAGAGCTATGGGTTATAAAGCGGAGTGACCCACTGTTAATAGTTAATCCTTAAGCTGCTGACAGCCCGCTCTCATTCTCCCAGGTTTCCAACTTTATATTTCTTTATTTCTACGTTCCTATCTCTGGAAACTACATTTCTATATTCTTGGACTCTTCGCCAGCAGTTATATAGTCACAGAGACACAGAAGTAGAATCTGGTGACAGCCAACGGCTCCTTGGGTCTTCTCACTTCCTGTAAGGTTTCCCGTGCATGCAGGAATCCTGCTCTACGATTCAGCCATGAGAAAAGAAAGCAGATGCACACAAAACAGTTATAAGCCAATATTTAGGGCAAGTTTATTTATAACCAACAAAAATTAGGAACAACCCAAATGTCTTTTAACCACTGAGTGACCCAATCGTCACCTGGAATTCTGCTCAGCAAAGAAAAAGGGGCAAACAGCAGCAGCAAGTCAAATGGTGTCGTTCTCCCACTCAAACCCTGTGCTGGCTTCTTCAACACAGAGAGATAACCTGGCATGCTGGGATTTGGAGTCCGGACCAATACAACTCTCAGGCCTGGGGGCTGGGGGCTACGCTCCCAACTTAACAAACAGCTCTGCATTGTATCTGCCCGACCGATGAGATTAGTCACATCCGTGAGGCAGCTGTTTTCAATTCTAGCCTTCCTGCTGCGGCTTGTGGTGCAGCTCAGCAACAGGGCAGATCATGCTTCTAGGTCTCTCTTGTTATTATGTTTGAAACTCCCATGGCTCAAAACCGTGACTTTTCCATGCAACATGTGACCACTGCCATTTTGACTGAGGTCAGGTGACCTTACAACCATCTTAACTGATGGGCAGGTCAGGTGACTTCTCTGCCATCTTAAATGAAGGCCAGGTCAGTTGACCAAATCCAGCCATCTTTACTGAGGTTTTCCCTGCCTGGTCCCCCGGTGCTGACTCTGTTCATATGTGTTTTGTGCAGTGGCATGCCTTTGGTAGAGCCCACCAAAGCATCCTCTTGGCCCATTTCCTGTTCACTCTGTGTGTGTGCATACATGTGGCTTAAATACACATGTTTACTGTTAAATGTTATAATTGTCTGTCCATTATATCTCATTCCAGACTAGTAAAGCAATAAGTTTCATGTTTTAAATTAGTATGTAATTTTTAAGACTCTTACAAAAATACGGTATATTTAATCCAACCCTGATTTAAAATATATTAAGTTGTTCTCTACTATTGTTAGTTCTGCCGTTAACCTTCTATTGCAAGCAGTTTTTTCTTCTTTCTGTCTTTTTATGAGTCTAAATCTTATCTGTTGAGAGCCAGTATAGTCAAGCATGGACCCTGTTCTCCAGGCAGATTCTACACTGTAGTTATAATTTATCTATACCCAGTAAACAGCCCTCAGCTGCTCAGAGATCTGGGGAATACAGCATTTAAATGCTTAATTATAAAAAAACACAACTTTCATAACAAAAAAGAGACAGGTTGGCGCAAAGCAGCAACACTCTGTTTCCTCCAAAGAAGACAGAAGACAAACGGGCACAGAACAACATCCAACCACAATTTGCTTCAACTGCCAAGCGCTGACCACTGGGAAAAACTGCCTTTCATCTAAATTGAAGATCTCCAGACAGTGGACAGAATCGCTGGAATTGACAGCCTAACTGCTCAGGTCAAGGTAGGCCTCTCTTCCTACAGATTTCTTAGCCCAGAGGATCTTCTGGAGCCTGGCAGGCCCTGTGCTAAACAGCAAAAGAAGAATATGACTCTCGGCAACCATGGAGGGCCCTGAGAAGTAGCTCTAGGTGCCAACCAAGTAAGTTCTCTGTTGTTTTTTAATCAATAATTCAAGTAAAATTTTAATCTTCTCAAAGATCTCTGATGCAGTTTGACAGTTGAGAGGTATTATCAGTTTAATAGGACAACCTCACCAAACAAAGTTCAGCAAAATACAAATACAAGTTACTAAGGTATGTACTGGCAAGTTATAAAGGTGTAAGGACAAATATAATTTATCAAATTTCTCTCTCATGCTGCCTTTCATAGTCTTAAAAATACTTTCATTCTGATATAAATATGCTACTGTTTAAAACTTATATTTTCACAAACCCAAAAAATTCTTGTGAGTTCCAGGGAGCCGAATTGAAGGATCCACCTTAAACAGGTCAGATATACCCCTCTCAATTCCCTGGTCTTTTATTTATTTATTTATTTTTTCTGAACTTAACTTTGTCCTCTGTTCTGCCAATACTTAAACAAGTGTAAGAGACACCAGATATTTCCATACCACAAACACCGGACAGGAGAAAACAGACCAGCTATGCCAGGATGTGGTCAGCACCCAGCTTTCTCAAGACCCCCCCCCGCCAAGATGACACCCACAAATAAGCAGGAAACAGTCTTGAGAATCTGCCACCCCAATTCCTTTAACCTGTTGTGCCTAACCTCCCTCCTTTTTATTTATTTATTTATTTAAATTTTATTTATTATGTATACAGTGTTCTGTCCGTACGCATGCCTGCACGACAGAAGAGAAAACCAGATCTCATTACAGATGGTTGTGAGCCACCATGTGGTTGCTGGGAATTGAACTCAGGACCTCTGGAAGAGCAGCCAGTGTTCTTAACCTCTGAGCCATCTCTCCAGCCCCCTCCTTTTTAATTATAAAAAAGAGATGGGAATGTAATGGTCTGTCCTGTCCTTTAAGAGACAAGCCATACCCACTCCCTCCCTAGTCCTGCTGAGGCAAGCAGATCTTCCTTCTGCTTCCAGCCTGAATCTTTTCTTTTAGTCTCTCTCCAAGAAGAGGCAGCTTCTGCCTCACTCCTTTTTGCCCTCTTCTCCCCTTCCCCCTCTCTCTGTTTCTCTCTCTCTCTGCCTCTCTCTGCTCTTCCCCCTTCTCTCCTTCCAATCCCCACCCATAACCCACTAAATAAATACCTACTTTCTCTGCATGGCACATCTCTGTCTCTCACCTGCCGTGCAGCTCCCTGCCTGGGACTGGCCGCCTTTGTGGCCTGCTGTGGTCTCGTGCCCACTGCCTGCTGTTGCCACTCGGGACCTGTGGCGTTTTACTTTTACCACAACAAACCTCACTTTCTCTCACGTGATATCTGAAACTCATTTTCTGCTGAGACCTCCCTACTTTGCCCAGGTTCTGAAAAGTGTCCCAGGGGCTGACGGGTCCAGAGCCCCAGTTCTGGGTTCCCTGTGGGAACTGGGGACCCTTCTGCACCAGTTACCTTTCTTGTTGCCATGACAGTCTACTGAGACAGAAACACTGAAAGGGACGAGGACTTATTTTGGCTTGTAGTTTCACGGCACAGTTCATGGTGGCAGGAACGTGTAACCGAGACTCATCTTGGAAGCTGAGAGAGCATGGTAGGAAGGTGCCAAGGACAGCTCACTCCAAGGACCCACCCCTAGTGACCTACTCCCTCCATCTAAGCCCCACCACCCAAGAGTCTACAGCTGGACTGGGGAGAATCACCAGGCATCTGTCGACAAGTCTGCTAACCTGAGTCAGATCCCTGGGACCCACGAGGCTCAACTGACACTTGATGTTCTCTGTCTTTTAGTGTCCACTGTGGCGTATGTGTGCTCGGGAACAAACACACAGACACACACAGACAGAGACACACGTGTACAGACACAGATACATACACACATACAGACACACACACACAGAGACACAGACAGACACACACAGAGATACACAGACACACAGACACACAGGCACACATACAGAGATACACAGATACAGAGACACAGACACACAGATACACACAGAGACAGACACACAAGCAGACACACATATACAGGCACAGACACACACCGACATACAGACACAGATACACACAGAGACACACAGACAAACACAGGCACACACACAGAGACACAGACAGACAGACACAGAGACACACAGGCACACATACAGAGACACATATACAGACACAGACACACACACACAGATACACACAGATACACACACATATACAGACACACACACAGACACACATACACACAGACACACAGACAGATACACATATAGAGACACACACAGACACAAACACACACACATACAGACACACAAGACACAACACATACAGACACACACACACACACACACACACACAGCTGGTGAAACGTAAGCCTGTGAGTACACTTCATGCTCAGCCCACAGAGCTATTCTTCCTTTAGCTCAGCTTCACTATCTTGGTCAGTATCTGGTCTCTTTCTGCCTGCAATTAAAAAAAAATAAAAACCCACCCTGTAAAAGGCCCTCCAGAAACACATCAACTCAGGTGTTCGTTACCAAGGTAAAAATTAACCAAAAACCTATTAGCTTCGTTTACCCTCCATCAACCTTAAAAACCCTTCTCATTCCAAGCCAGGTGTGTCCATGCACGCCTATTACCCCTAGACCCAGGGTGTGGGGAGAGAGGGCTAAAGTTCAAGGCCAGCCTTAGCTACACAGCAAGTTTGGGGCCAGCTTAGATTACGTGAGTCCCTGTCTCAAGCAAGTCGCACGTCCAGGAAGCACATCGCTACCTCTCCACCGTGCCGACGGCTTCCGGTGACCGTGGCTTTGGCTACTTCTCATCCACCCGAATCACTTTTTCCTGACAGCAGAGACTTCAGTTTGTTTTTCAGAGGTCTGATGGTGACATCGCTACCTCTACGTTGTGTCTTTCCCTTCCCAGCCTAAATGTACGTGGATGTGTGGATCACTGGAGGAATGTTTTGTTCAAGGCTCTGACACGCGACTACAGGTCGGGGCTAGCATGTGTCTTCTACCCCGCCCTGGTGTGTAATCCTTCAGCTGTCTCTCACCTGTCACCAGGCCCAGATGAACCGCAGGGCCAGGGTGTTTGTGCAGTACCACGGCCTCAGCAACAAGAGGAACGCAACAGTTTCTCCGACGCATTCGCCATTCTTCCAACTGACCTGTGCCTCACACGAGAAGGAAAACATCTTTTGCCACTGCGTTTTGGCCAGCAGGAAATTATAAGAGTCCCTCCCCCCAATTAATAAAAGTCTGCCCCTCTCTTTATTCAAAATAACACCCCAGTCCCAGCTGACCTGTATGTTCATAGCTTTTGGCTGGATGCCATTGCAGTTTTCTCTTGTTCAACTCATTCATGGCTAGACCTGCTCCGGTGTCCCTCCGGCCCTCTGGTGGGACTGGTTACTTTATCGGTTGGTGCCCACAAACTGTTGAAGTTAAAAGAACATAACTTGGAGTCTGAGGAATTGGGTGAGGCAGCTGTGAGTTAGGGTTCCTGGGGAGGCAGGAAAAGTGTGAGCTCATGGGCTGTTGAGTGCTGGAAAGGAACAGGGGCTACCGTCCCCCCCTCCCTGGGACAAAAGTCTCCACTTGCAAACGGTGGGAGCTGGCACCGTGGTAACGCTGACCTCACTATATCTCGCTTCAGTTTCGAAACGAACACCTGGCCATTTCTTGTGCCTTACCTCACATCTCCTCTTGACTGGATGACTCAGAGGCTGGGTGTTTCCACTCTGAGGATTTTTGTTTTGTTGTTTTTTTTTAAGTCACACTTTATTTATTATTTAGGCGGGCCTCGGATTCTCTGTGTAACAAATGACATTGAACTCCTGGTCTTCCTGTCTGTTCCGTTCAGATGCTGAGATTACAAACTTGCACCACCATGACTAGTTCATGCGGGGTAGAATCCGGACCCTCATCCTTATGGTTGACAAACAACATCCTTATGGCTGGACAAACACTCTCCAGAGTGAACTACATCCACCAGTCCCTTACTCTGGATTTTCGAAATTTTGTTTGTCGTTTTTATTTGTAAAATGGATGAACAGAATGAAAAGGTCCATCCACAATCTTCTTCTTTTTTGAGAGGGAGAGGGCACATGTGCACATAGGTTAAAAAGGATCTCTCACTAAACCTAGAGCTAGGCTGGCAGCAAGCCCTAAAGATCCTCTTACCTGCATGCCCCCCATGCCAAATTTATAGGCAAGTGTGGCCACGCCTGGCTCATGTGTGTGTGTGTGTGTTGTGAGGAGTGTAGGCACATGCGTATCACCATGGCACTCGTGTTAAGCTCACAGGTCACCTTTTTGGGTTGGTTCTTGCCTGGGCTTGCTTGAGGCCAGGCTTGCAGACTTTCATGGCTCCGAAGCCTCCGGTCTCCATCTCCCATCTCCCAGTAGGGCACCCTGTGATTAGTTGTGTGAGAGTGAGCTGAGGTCCTCGTGTTTGCACAGCTAATGCTGACCCACTGGGAGAAGCTCACACACCCTTCTAACCAGGATGCCCTGTCTGCACAGGCTGAGTACAATAGAGCCGGTTTGCTGAAGTCCTGAACTTGAGGGGAGTCCTCTGTGACCTTTACAGACCTATAGAGACGGTTCACAGAGGCGAGAAGTCAGTTCAGTCCAGCACTGCTCAATAGCTGGCATCGGCTATACTTTGAGAGTCTGACCCTAAGTGGGTTTAGTGGTTTTTGTTTTGTTTTTTTTTGACAGGGATTTTTTTTTTCTATAGCCCTGACTGTCCTGGAACTTGCTCTGTAGACTTAGGTTGGCCTCGAACTAAGAGAAATCCACCTGCCTCTATGCCCCAAATGCTGGAATTAAGGGTGTGTGCCACCACTGCCCGGTTTATTTTAGACATTTTTAAGCACAGAACAGTTTGGTGAGAACTTTTCTGGTGACAATTAATTCAATTCCTCGACTATGACAAAACATACATGAATCTCCCTGAGGAACAAAGTAAGCTAAATACAGCTCAGACATTGCTACCGTGAGGGCTAAGGCTGTGTTTGAGGCTTAGGTCATTGTGCTTAGAACACCTACAAAACAAAGATGCCTCTGAACTGTAAGCCCCACTTGCCCAAGGATATATAACTTCCTGGAATGCTGGGGGCTCTTCATGAAAGATAATAAACCACATGTCATTTCTATAAACAAGGTTGGTTGCCCCAACTGCACAGAGTGTGCTTGGCCACATGTCGATGGGAGGTACGTAGGCAGGAAGTACATCAGGATGTATACTTGCTCCTGATTGGACCAAGGCAGGAAGTATGTAGCCGGAGCCTTGTGGGTTTTGCTTTTCTGGGCACCTGACTAACATAATTCATGGCCATTCTCTAGGAGTCCTGGGTATAGACTTGGCCAATGTCCATCTTCCTGGCCAGTATTTAATAAAGCTAGCTCTAAATTTGGCTCAAAATTGTGGTAGTGTCTTAGTCTTGGCCAGTGGGGTTAGCACAACATCGAAACTCTTTGTAAACTGCACATGGTGGCATACTCCCAGGCAGAAGCAGGGAGATCTCTGTGAGCTCGAGGCCAGCCTGGTCTACATAGTAAGCTAGTATGTAGTAAGACCCTGTCTCAAAAAAGCAAGCAAGCAAACAAAAACTCACTTCTTTGTAAAGCCCATAAAGATAGGTTCTACAGATTGACTCAGAAAAACAAATTTATGCCAAGAGTCTGGGGGAAAAGTGTCTGACCACGCAGGTAGAACAGAAGACACCAGAATAGAGAGCTCCTCCACGCCCAGCCTTCTGGGTGGATAACGGAGTCTGCAATCCTTCCCTGGAAAGAACCAGTCTGGGAGTTTAATATTCCAGCTCCCCTTACCGCTCACCTGTGAACACAAAGATCTCCGTGCCTCTTGCAGGAACTCGTCCCCTCTGTGAGCTGATTCGCTCTGGCATTTTGTGCCAGAGATGGAGTGTGGCTAACCCGTGAGGTGATGAGAGCAGTTGCTGAAGTCTGTTGCCTTGATCGAGGAATTCATTAGATTGCAACATGTTAACGCATCTCATTCACCTGACAGAATTCTTCCCAAAGGAGACAACTTTATTATTTGACTAGCCTCGATGAGTTATTTCCCTAACATGGTACAAGCAAGACAAATCAGGTCTATTTTTGTAGTATCATTAGGAACTCCTTGCTTCATATGTTATTTGATCACGAGGCACAAAATGAGGCTCCCATCTTGGGCTTCTAAGGGGAAGCACTCATTTCACAGATGAGAGTCTAAGGGCGGAGGTGAGAACTTCCCAACAAATGTAACAAAGTAGGGACCCATCCCTGCTTCAGACCCAGGTGTGACTAGCAGGGGTCACAAGGTCACAGAAACCCGGTGCTGCATGAACAATGAGAATTTTCGGCAAAGAAAATCAGCTTGGCTAAAGCTAAGTAGATACCCAAAAAGGCAAAAAGGTTTGCACTGTTTCGTGAGGTAAACAACAGCTAAGAGAGTAGAGAGTGCTCGGACCCGGTGACATTAGAGGTGCAGAAGGGCCTCACAGAGCAGAATCCTGAGGTCTGAGAAGCTGATGAATCCGAAGGAAAACACATGTGTTTGAGGTACTAGGCTCCTGTCTCTGCATCTGAAGTGGGGCAGGGCCAAGTTTGCCCTGGAAGTTTGAGAAAACTGCAAATGGGAGGCCGGGAGACCCTGGCCATCAGGGGTCAGAGGCCAGTGCCTCATGAGGGCGGTCAGAGCAAAGACACTTCAGAAGTGGAAATTCAGGATCCGGGTACTAGTCAAATCCCACTGAGGGTTCATTGGAATCCTGGCTTGAGGCCTTGCGAGGTACCACGGGCAGGACAGCATCCTCAGCAAGGCTGGAGTCTGACCTGAGCGCCCCTCTTGCCCCTAGAGTGGGAGTCGGAGATATGAAGTACCCATAGCAACGCAGGAAATAACTTCCTGGAAAACTCTGAGTATTTCTGAGCTGATACTTCCTGGTCTGGAGGGCAAACCTTGGCTACATTTGTTTCCATAATGAGCAACCAGGCCTCCCATGGGCTCCTACTTCTTAAATAGGGTTGGCCAAGAAAGGACTGTGAGCCACAGTAGTGAGAGGGGGATCCAGAGCTACCTGTTCTTGGCTCATCTCTGTGAGTCTGGGGAGGGGCCATGGGGGTCCCCTCTCCTTCCTGAAGGGTAGGTGAGACTTCCGTATGATAGCCTCACAGGTGGACTGACACACGGCTCCTGTCGCCTCTGATTCCTGGTGGCTCGTGAGTTCCTTGACCTTCACCAGATCACATCCCTGGGACTGCAGGGCGGGAGCATGAATGGGCAGATCTTGGCAAGTAGTTAGGTTACAATTTGATTGCCTCTAAACTCTGAAATACAGCCCTCCCCTAGACTGAGTCAAGGACTCTGACCCCACTGCAGGTGGACCGGAGAGGAGCCATGGAGTCCTGGGCAAGGTGCATTTTTCTTCTGCTGCTGCAGTTGCTGCCAGGTGAGGGATGTTCTTCCTGCAGTCACCCTCAGCCCTTCCTCCATGATGACCCCCACCATCCTGCTTCCTTGGGATCTTCAGCTGCTCTCCCTAGACGACCAGAAGAGGGCTGAGAGGAGGCCAAACCCCACGTGTCCACTGACCCTCTGAGGGAGGCAGGAGGAGGTAGAACCACAGAGGAAAGTGGGTGGCTGCTCCTGAGGGGGCGATGTCCCTGAACCATGTCTCACGGGGGTGATAACTTTGTGGATGGAATGCTAACCCTAGACCCCTTCGGTTTTCTCTTTTAAAAATTTGATGAGAATTTCACGTGCATACAATTTGTTTTGATCATATCTGTCTCCTACCCACCTCGCTTCATTCCCCTAGGCCCCTAGCAAGTAATTCTTCCAACTTCCTCCATCGTCTCTTCCTTCCTCCCCTCTTCTGCTGCTGTAACTCACTGAGTCCAGATACTGCTGTCCATGTGTCCACGGGCATGGGGCCATCCTCGTGTCCATGGGCAACCCATCAGTGGTCACACCCCACAAAGAAAAATTGCTTTCCCTCACCTATCAGCCAATAACTGCTCAGCTAGAGGTGGGCCTTGGGAGCCACTCCCCATACACCACCGAGTGTTGTCTGCCTGGACAGGTCGTCTGTGCATTACCACAGCTGCTAGGGGTAGCAATATGAAGGCAACAGCCGTGTTATGTCCAGAGGATAGCTTTCCCCAGCCTCTTCCCCATCCTGCAGCTTGTATCCCTCCTGCCTTCTCTTTTGTCCCGTTCTGGAGCTTGGGAGGTGTTGACGTAGATATGGGTGTCCCACTGAAACCGAGTCGCTTGTTCTCAGTGTTGTGGCCAGTTATGAGTGTCTTCATGGACCAGTCCACTGAGAAACTTTCTCTTGTTTTCTAGGAGGCCATGGGGATGAGTTGCCTTCAGGTAATGACCGGCACTGAGCGTCCCAGGGAAGAGACCAGGGCAGGGGGTGGAGGGAGATGTTGGAGATGGTGGGTCCTGGGTGGGGCTGGCTTTCTGAGAAGGTTCTTCTGCAGTGTGTGGCCATTCCAGAGATGCTGGGAAAATCGTGGGTGGCCAAGATGCTCAGGAAGGACGGTGGCCGTGGCAGGTCAGCCTGTGGATAGCTGGAGAGGGCCACATATGTGGGGGCTCCCTCATCCACCCGGGATGGGTGCTCACGGCTGCCCACTGCTTCAGCAGGTAAGTGAAGGGTGCAAAATGGCCGCCATTCTTGTTACCTTCTTCATCTCTGGCAGAGGCCTCAACAGACTGGGCCTGTCTCTTTCTAGGTCTAAGGACCCTAGCTTCTACCAGGTGAAGGTTGGTGGACTGACACTCTCCCTTCTGGAGTCCCACACAACCCTAGTGACTGTGAGGAGCATCTTTGTGCACCCCAGCTACCTCTGGGAAGACACGTCTAGTGGAGATATTGCCTTGCTGCAGCTGGGCACGCTTCTGAAACCCTCTCAGTTCACTCCCGTCTGCCTCCCAGAAGCCCAAGCTCCTCTGACCCCTGGGACTGTCTGTTGGGTAACGGGCTGGGGCTCTACCCAAGAAAGAGGTGAGGAAATGAGTCCACACCCAGTCCCTACTCCTGTCTATGGGAAGGCTTGGCTGGGAGGGGATGCACTGCCAAATTGTGTGGTTTGCCTTGACCAAGGTGCCCACTCAAGGCAGATTTGGGGAACCCCACCCAGTATGCAGGGTTCTGCCTTCTGCAGAAATGGGTAAGCTGAGGCCCAGCAACCATGAGATTATGGAAGCTGGCATAGCAGGGGCAGACTGCCCTTGAACTCTGCTCCCTGACTCTGTTTCCTGGTTTTGGGACTTGGAGAGGGAGTAGAGAACAAAGAAATGGCCGGAGGTTCGTGTTGCCTGCATGGTGGGAGGGGTTTCAGCAGGTCAGGGCATACTCAGGCCAGGACTCTCTCTTGTCCAGACCTGGCGAGTGTCCTCCAGGAGTTAGCTGTGCCTCTCTTGGACTCGGAGGAGTGCGAGGAGATGTACCACATCCCGGAGAGCAGCCAGTCAGGGAAGCGCTTCATCCAGTCAGACATGCTCTGTGCGGGCTTCGCAGAGGGCCAGAAAGACGCCTGCCAGGTGCCAGCAGTCCTGCCTCCACATAGTTCATATCCCTGCCCCACACCCTCGGGACGCTGAGGAGGACCAGGGGACTCACCCAGTCCCTGAGGCCTCGGCAGAGGGTGTTTTTAAATTTTTTTTTTTTTTGACCGGACTGTCCTCCTTTTTCCTCAGGGTGACTCTGGGGGACCACTGGTCTGTGTCATCAACAGTTCCTGGATCCAAGTGGGAATCACCAGCTGGGGAATTGGCTGTGCTAGGCCGCTCAGACCCGGCGTCTACACACGGGTCCCATTTTATGTAGACTGGATTCAGAGAACCTTGGCAGAGAACCATTCTGAAGCCTGCGGGGGCCACTCCGGAGCCTCTGGGGCACATCCACTACTGATGCTAATGTTGCTGGCCATAGCCTTGCCAGCGGCTCTGTGAACTATGAGCTCTAGTGTCCAGGATCCTCTCCCGGCTCCCCCGTGGGATGGGAGACTTGGAAGCTTAGAGAAGACACTCAGAAATGGTGGGTTTACAGGCGACAGCCTGGGAGGTGTTGGAGGCTGAAGGGACCTGAGTTTTAAGGACACAGTAATCTGGAACACGGGGACACATCCTATCAAACACAGGCAGCCACTCACACGTTACCACAGGCCTGGTCTTGATTCAGCTCTCCATGTGCTAACTCCTTCAGCGATACACAGTGCTGCAGCCAGAGTAGGAAAGCCCAGAGAGGGCCGTGAACTTCCCAAGGTCACACAGTTAGCCAGCTGGGATAGAATCTCCATCAAACAAGTGCAGATTGGAACCTGTGCATCTGCCCCAAAGGGACCCCATGCTGGCATGCACCACCGCACCTTGTTGGTTTCCAGTACCCACATCATGGGGCTTACAACTGCAGGAGGTCCTGCTTCTGGCCTGAGGACATACACATGGGGGTACACAAACACATAAAATAAATCATTATTAAAAAGGCGTGTTTATTTTATGTGGATGGGTGTTTTGTCTGTATGTGCAGTACCCATTCAGATCTCTCTCTCTCTTTCTCTCTCACATCTTTGGAGACAGGATTTCTCTGTGTAGTCTTGGCTGTCCTGGACCAGACTCTATAGACCTGGATTGGCTCTATAGACCAGACTGGGCTTTAACTCAGAGATCCACCTACTTCTGCCTCCCGAGTGCTGGCATTAAGGGCATGCGCCACCACCTCTTGGCTCCTTTCAGATCTCTTGAAACTAGAGTTACAGACTAGGGTTATAGACAGTCGTGAGCTGTCATGTGGTTGCCAGGAATTGAACCTGGGTTCTTTGGAGGAACAACCTGTGTTCTTAGCCACGGAGCCATCTCTCCAGCCCACAAAATAAGGCAAATATTTTGAAGAAATCCTTTGACAGAGCAGCTTTCCGTCCGCTGGGTCTGATCACAAGGTGCAGGGTGTGCGGCAGATGGAACTGCTTTCTCAGGGCTGGAGAGATGGCTCAGAGGTTAAGAGCACTGGCTGCTCTTCCAGAGGTCCTGAGTTCAATTCCCAGCAAGCACATGGTGGCTCACAACCGTCTGTAATAGGATCTGGTGCCCTATTCTGGAATGCAGGCATACTTGGAGGCATAATGTTGTATACATAATAAATAAATATTAAAAAAAAGAAATAGCTTTTTCTCAGTTTCTCTAGCAAATCATTTACATTGTGTTTTTCAAACACATCTGGCCGTGGGCAATGTACTGGTAAGTTGTTATGTGCTTTTTGAGCTCACTGAGAAGCTGGGAATAGGGTTGCCCCAACCCCATTTCAGACCCAAGCACATTTAAATGTCCTCCAAGACCCCTTGTCTAGGAACAGACTGCTCTCTCTAAATCCATGACAGAAAGGTAATCGAGAGACAGGTGAAAATGCCACTCTGTCTTTGGAGGTTTGAGAAACTCCCACTGTCTGTGTAAGATGAGGCAGGTGGGCTACAAGGGCCATGGAGAGATGCTTACTTCTTTGAGAAAACCGTCCATGCTCCCCAGGGCCAACCCTCTATTTCCTGAAACACTGCCCACCCCAGGTGACCACCTGGAATGCCTGGGGCCAAAGCCAAGGGCGGGAGGCAGAGGCATGGCTTAGTTGATAAAGCGTTCACTGCACACGCATGAGGACCCGAGCTTGAACCCCAGGACCATGTGAAGATGCTACGTGTAACAGCGAGCACAGTAATTTGAGTGCTGGGGAGGAGGAGATGAGACCCTCTGCAGCTCCCTTGCCAGTCAGACTGGCCTATGGGGTAAGCTCCAGGCCCGTGAGAGACCCTGTCTCAAAAAAACATAGGGTTGCTAGCCCAGGAGTAAAACACTTGAGGTTGGCTTCCATCCGACACACACACGCATACACACACACACACACACACACACACACACACACACACACATGTGCCTATGTACATTGAACTCACACAGACACACTCAGAGACACACACAGATACACACACATAGGCACACACACAGAGACACATACACATAGACACACACAGACACACACAGAGATACACACACACATAGACACACAGACACACACAGAGACACACATAGACACACAGACACACACAGAGACACACACAGATACACACACATAGACACACAAACACAGATACACGCACACATAGACACACACAGACACACACACACATAGACACACACACACAGCTGACTTCCCGGGGCAGAGGGAGAGATCATGTGAGCAAGACACCTTCCGGCCCTGGGCCCTCTGCCCTTTCAGAGGACAGGCACCGTTGACAACCTCAGTCACGCCTGGGCAGAGGTGTCTATCGTTCCGTTGCCTCTGAGTCTGGGTCCGTGGAACCCCTCACAGACCTTCCTGGGTGTCCCTTTCTGCACTCTGCCCTAACCCATTTGCCCTTCCAGAACGGACTCGGTCTTTCAGAGCCGACTCTGCCCTCTCCTTTCCTATTAATGTTCAAGTGCTGAGCTGATAAATCCTGTTGCCTTGTGCCTCTGGATAACTACCTTGTGCCTCCGAATAATTACCCTGCAGAAGTCAGCAAGACGGTGTGGAGTAGAACAAAAGAAAAGGCCTCAATTTGCCTTCCAGATTTTTTTGTGTGTGGGGGGTATTTTCTGAGCAGGATCTGATATAGCACGTACTGGGCCTGGCTCACTGTGTAACTGATGATGACTTTGAACTCCAGGTCACCCCACTTTCACCTCTGGGATTTCAGGGGTGTGCCACTAAGCCCTGTTTCAATTCTGCATTCCATATACCAGATACTGGTAAACCTACCCCTGTATCTGTCAACCCTCAGGAAGTTTCCAAACAAGAGCCTTCTTAGATTGCAACCTTATCTATACTTCAAAGGACCACACAGCCTGTTTCTAAGATACCCTCCGACCCAGGCTAAGTGTGTCTCCATGTGCATGCGTTCTGTAGACCAACCTTCATTCCCACCCCATCCTCCAGGGCTGATTGTCATCCCAATCCACCCCCCTCCAACAACGGGTTACAGGAAAGAGCCGGAAACAGCATAGGAAAACCCAGTTCTGCAGACTGGTATAGACTGCATGCAAACATGGTCTCCTTTGTCTTCTGTTAGTCTGGATATCCTCCCACGATGATACTGCCAATGGATTTTGAAAATGGCCTTTCTGCTCATGGTAGCGGGCAAGGAGGTGCAGGGTTAGGATGGAGGTCAAGGATGTAATAGCTGGGGATCGGTGGGTGCCCTAGGGGAGTTGGGCTGTGTGGCACCCAGGTGACTGTAGCATCGTCAGGGACTCCTCTCCGGCACCCCTGCTAGCTGCACTGTCTGTATAATCTAGGTGGCCTTCCTCAGATGCAGATCTAGTGACAGGTTCCTTCTTGGACAGGTTGAAACAGAACTGCCCAGTTCCGTGTTGTGCAAGAGGAGGCAGTTCATGGCCACAGAGACAACAGGTAGACGCACCCTCCAGGGTCAGGCCAGACCAAGGATAAGGAAATGGTTACAATTTATTAAAATGTTCCGGAAAACTCACAGTTGATTTCTGTTCAAAGGTCAAGTCGGGGAATGATTGGCTGAGCTGAGGGACTGAACCAGGAACCAAGTGGGGAACAATGGAGTTTCCCCAGCAGCAGTCCAGGGCTGAGGCTAGCATGGCCTCCTCTCTGGACTGGGAGTGCGTTGGTGAGAAGTGATTCTCAAGGACACATGGGCTGTGCCAGTGGCACCGTGTGGCTGGCTCCAGGTTTCCAGGATGGAGGTGCTGAGGCCACTGGCACAGGGGGTATGGAAGGCTTCACAAGGTCCATTTCCTTCATGGTTTGGGGCTAGGCTGGTACCCACACAGGAGGCGATAGAAGGGAAGGATTTGGATTTCAGTATCATACTCTCTTGGCCTTCGAATCCTCATCTGTAAAATAAGAATTAACCTCCCCAGCAGGGTGTTTATGACGATTAAATGAGTAACAATTGTGAAAGTATGTACCATCATGTGTGCGCTGTGGTACTTGCTGAATGCTGGTCTGTTCTTCCATCCATCCTTCCATCTACCCATCATCCAGCTGTTTGTCTGCTCACTGTCATGTCCATCTGTCCATCCATCCATCCATCCATCCATCCATCCATCCATCCATCCATCCCCCACTCACCTATTAACCTATATGTCTATGCATCCATCTATTTATCAATCTGTTCATTCATCTTACTATCATTTGTTTGTCCATCCACCTATCCATCTATCTACCTACATACACATCCACTTAGCCACCTACCCATCGATCCCCTCATTCAAAAAATAACAAATCAGATCATAGGACAATTTCTCGTATGGATTCCCAGACTTTGCAGCAACACCAGCTCCCGAGCAGTCTTGCATGGATTCCAAAACCCTGCAGCAGCACGGGCTTCCCAGCAGCAGTCTTGCATGGATTCCCAGACCCTGCAGCAGGCACTGGCTCCCCAGGAGCAGTCTTGCACGGATTTCCAGACCCTGCAGCAGGCACGGTTTTCCTCATTACTGTCTCAGCCTCCTTCCTCCTTCTTACCACTCACTGTTACTGGCTCAGTTCTAGGTTCTTTTGCTCAAAGAGAGACAAAAATCACAAAAGGCCAACAATAGCATTGAAAGGAGGCTGTTGAGGGCTGATGTTCGAGAACACGGTGGCTCGTAGACAGCCTGGGTCAACTCTCCCAGGAAGACAAACTCCTCTGTTGTCTGCCTGGTGGTTTGTGCTGGTGGTTGTGGCTATTGCAGAAGGCAATAAATGCACCAGAACTTTAATCTTGGCATGAGGACAGATCACAGTATGAAGGTCAACTTATGCTCGAAGTCCACCTGCACTGGGGCTGACTAACATACTTAATAGGTACGTTTACACTCAACCGGGAAGGTCAGGCAGCGGTCAAAGCCAGGCGCTCTGAGCACAATACTGTAGGAAAGTCCCTTCGCAGGCTTTGGAGGAAGTAGGAGGCGTCAACAGAGCAGAAATCGTCCTCAACAAGGATGGGAAACATGGCTCTGGAGTCGGGCCTTCTTGTTCCCATCCCAGCCACCAGAGACACATGTTTGTTGGGAGCTGTGAGCCCCCAGATCCGGAATTTCTTGTGAACAACGTGTTATGCTTGCAGCTGCTCTGAGCACGAGACCCTCAGGAGTTCCTGATGGCAGGGGAGTGATTTCTGGTCTGTTTGGCTGGGGTATGGCTATCAGTTAAGGATCCCTATATAAGCTGCCCCTGAACACAATAAAGGGGGCATTCCTGTGTTTCAAGGATGACCTGTGTCTCTGTCGGTGTGACTTTGTGTGTTTAAATCTCCAGGCCCTTGCCCAGCTTGCAAATGGTCCTGTAGTGCAGGCGCCGCAATACAGGAGTAGACCCGTACTGTCACGTAGTACAGGCGGGCGCTACACATGTTCCTGGTTTTTCTTGTATCTTTCAAATTCCACCAGCATGGTAACTTATACCTGTAGTCTCAGCACTCAGGAGACCGAGGCAGGAGGATTGTCTTGTACACAATGCCAGCCTGTGTTATGACTTGAGAACGAGACTGAAAACAAAACGGGTGTTAGGGAGACGGCTCAGTCAATAAAGCTCTTGCCTTGCATGCACAAAGACCCGAGTTCAATCCCCAGAATCCATGTTTAAATAGCATAAAAACGAAACAGACAAGGAAGCCTGCACCTGTAATCCCAGCTCTGGGAAGGCAGAAGAAGCAGGAGGATCCTGGCCAGACAAGCTCGAGGCCAATGAGAAACAGTGTCAAAGAACCAGATAGATCACTCCTAGGGTTGTCTTCTGGCTTCCACTGGACTGCACGCACACCAACCCCCTCCCCACACCAATGACTGCACGCACACCCACATCAACTGATGGAGGAGGGTTATCTGTCTATTGTGTTATTTTCATTGGTCAATAAAGAGACTGCCTTGGCCCCTTGATAGGACAGAAAATTAGGTAGGCGGAGTAAACAGAACAAAATGCTGGGAAGAGGGCTATGAGCCAGATGCCATGGAACCAGCCACCAGGTCAGACATGCTGAATCTTTCCCGGTAAGCCACACCTCGTGGTGTGATACAGATTAATAGAAATGGGTTAATATCAAGATAAGAGAGTTAGTCAGTAACTAACTCTCTAGAGATAATGGGCCAGGCAGTATTTAAATGAATACAACTTATGTGTAATTATTTCTGGGGTTAAGCTAGCTGTGCGGGAGCCGGGCAGGATGAAAAGCAGGCCTGCCCACAACTCCTTTCTACAATCAACCTCCCCACACACACACCAGTGACTGCACACACACCCACATAAGCACCCACACCAACTCCCTCCCCCCCCACACCAGTGACTGCACGCACACCCACATAAGCACCCACACCAACCCCCTCCCCCCACCAGTGACTTGGACACTAATGGAATTTATTTATTTAATTTTGAGACAGTATCTCATTTTGTAGCCCAATCAGGCCTTGAACTCGTGGCAATTCTCCTGTTGCAGCCTCTAGAATACAGGGATTCCAGGTATAAACCACCGCTTTCTGCCGAACCTTACTATTTATTCATTATGAGATGGAGTCTTTTCTATCTCAGGCTGACCTGAACTTGCTATGTAGCACAGAATGATCTTGAACTTCTGGTCCTCCAGCCTCCACCTTCCAAATGCTGGGATTACAAGGTGTTTATAGCCAGATCTGATTTATGTAGTGTTAGAAATTGAACCCACGATTCCTTACATGGTAGGCAGAACCCCACCGGTTGATTACATCCCCAGTCCTTGACTTTTCATAGGAGTTTCTGTTCCAATTCCCTTTTTCGCATATCCAAAATGTCTTTTTCTGGTGATCTAAACTTTTCTTTTTGTTATATGTTTATTTATTTATCTTTGTTTCTTTGACACAGAGTCTCTCTATTTAGCCCTGGCTGTCCTGGAACTTACTCTGTAGACCAGGCTGGCCTTGAACTCACAGAGATCTGCCTACCTCTGCCTCCTGAGTCCTGGGATTAAAGGCGTGCGTCACCACAGCCTGGCACAGCCACCACAGCCTGGCACAGTTGTGTGTATTTGTGTGCACATGTGTGTAGCTATGCCTGGGAGAGCAATGAGTAGAAGAAGGCAGAACCTGAAAGGGAGAGATCCTCCTCTTGTCCCCTCTCCTTTTTTTCCCTTTAGTTCTTTAAAATTGCTTGTTTATTTATTGTGTGCATGCAGGTTTGCTCACTAGTCCCCTGTGTGCATGTTTGGAAGAGAGAGGGAAAAGTTCTGGGAGCCGATTCTTTCCCTCCACTGTGTGGGTCCTGGGGATCTAACTCAGGCTGTTCAGGCTGGTACCAAGGCCTTTACCTGCCGAGTCACCTTGCTGGTCCTTCTCTCGTGTTCTGGTTACTGTGGAAAATGACTAAAGCATCCAAATGAAAGAGACTAACGATATTGACTGTTAGCAAGGACGGTGGGTGGAAAACTTACACTCTGGGGAACATCGAGCTACTGCCGCTTTGAGAGCTGATTGGCTGTTTCTTTTCTTCACGTACCTAGGCTGGCTTTGAAACTGCCACATAGCTAAGGTTGACCTGTAGCCTCTCCCTCCAGTGTTGGGACTACAGGTGTGCAGCATCATGCCTTGCTGGCAGTTTGTTTTAAATGTTTCCACTCACACCATGAGGTGATGTGGGATTCCCCTCTGCGTGCTATGAATACCATTGGTTAACAAAGAAACTGTCTTAGGTCTGCGGGGCACAGTATAAGTAGGTGGGGAAAACTAAACTGAATGCTGGGAGAAAGAAGGTGGAGTCAGTGAGAAACCATGTAACCACTGCCAGGAGCAGACACACTGCAACTCTACCTGGTAAGCCACAACCACATAGCGTTACACAGATTAATAGAAATGGGTTAAATTAAGATGAAAGAGTTAGCCAATAAAAAGCTAGAGCTAATGGGCCAAGCAGCAATTTAATTAATACAGTTTCTGTGTGGTTATTTTGAGTCTGGGCAGCTGGGGATAAACAAGTGGCCTTCCTATAACAATGAGGCATCAAGAACAAAAACTTCTGCCTCCCAGGAGTTTAACAGTCCCCCAACAAACACCCCAAATGTTCATTACTTGTTCTGCTTCCTTGTTGTGGATGGGATTTGACCAACTGCTTCAAATCCCTGGTGCCTTGACTGCCCCACAATACACCTTGATCTGTGAGCGAGAACAAACCCTTTCTTCCAAGTTGCTTCTGTCAGAGTGTTTTGTTTCAGCGGCAGGCAAGGTAGGTAGGGCACTCCTGAATACAAAACACAGAAGAATTCGGGAAACTCATTATCAAGCGAAGGAATCCAGATGCAAGGCTGCCTCCTGGTGACTTCTTTTACACACACACACACACACACACACACACACACACACACACACGACTTAGAGGTAGCAAAACTAGTCAGCGGTGGCAGAAAACATCTTGGTGGCTCCTTGGAACTCAGGATGGGAACACTGAACGTCAGGAGAAGCTTTGAGAAGTTGACTTTCCACTTTTATGGGGTGTAGCGGTTTATTAAAAGCTGTCTAACTGCACTATGGTCACAGCTATGGTTCTTTGTTTTGTTTTGTTTTGTTTTTTTGAGACAGGATTTCTCTGTATAGCTTTGGAGCCTGTCTGAAACTTACTCGATAGACCAGGCTGGCCTCGAACTCACAGAGATCCACCTGTCTCTGCCTTCCAAGTGCTGGGATTAAAGCCACCACCGCCAATTTGTTTTGTTTTTTGACCCAGGGTCTCACTCTGTAGCCCAGGCTCATCTTGAGTTCAGACCCTCTCATGTTGGCCCACTGAGTGCTGGGATTATGTGTGTGCTCACCACACCTGACTCACACATGCCTTTTATAGTTATAACCTGAATAAAGTTGACAAACCCTGAACAGGAAGATACAGTTGAATAATGAGGTCTAAAGAAGGTAGGGCCATCAGGTCCCAAGGAGCTAGACAAAACATGAGCATGCAATAAGGCAGAAGACACTCCTGTGTAAAGGTCAGACGGATAAGAACTCAAACACTCATAAAATAGAAATACCTCATTAAACAGAAACGCGAAGGAGTGTTGAGGGCGGCGACTGAGCCCCACTTGGGGTAATGAAAAGTCCCAGCATCAGTCAAAGGCTGCACAGCGCAGCACAGTGGTGCACACTTAAGATGCTTTAAATGATCCAGGCATGGGGCTTCGCACCTGTAATCCCAGTATTTGGGAAGTCGAGGCAGAAGGATTGCCATAAGTTTTAGGCTAGCCTGGGCTACATGGTGACACTGTTTCAAAAAAGGATAAAGGAATAGAATCAATTAAATAGGGGCTGGAGCTATGGCCATTGGTTGAGAGTGCTACCGCTCTTGCAGAGGACCGAGTTCCCGGCATCCACACTCACAACCACCTGTAACTCCAGAGGATCTGAGGACCTCTTCTGACGTCTAAGCACACAAGGCGTGCACATGTATGTAAGATAAAAAAATATTTTTTAAGTTAATTAAATACAAAATAAGATGGGTTAAGTAGTAAATTTTTCTTTTTTCTAAATAAAGAATTTACTGGTATGTTTCCTACAATAGAAACGTATCTGCTAAACTCTCACAATGTATAAATGGATTTGGATGACCCCAGAGTGACTGGGGTTCAGGGTCATAAAGTCTATGGGAAGCACAGTCTGGTGGCTCTTAGGTTTGGAGCCCTAGGACACAGCTAACTTTCCACTGGGTTCCTGAGCAGGACGAGAGAAGACTTGGGCAGGCTCAAGAGCCCCAGTCATACTCAGCAGAGCCACATTTTTACTAAGTCCAGTGCTATCTTGGTTCTGTGCCTACCTCTTTCCTAGTCCACCCTTTAGGTTAGGGATTCTTGTCCTTGGCTTAAAGATGTGAGACTAGAGGTTCTCTTTTGCCTTGAGAATAGGCCTGAGCCTGGCATTGCTGCGTGTATTCCCGCATCTCTGACTGTCTCCACTAGATGGCAGCAAAATCCCACAGTATCATGGCCCAAACTCGCTCTAGGCCAAAGTCTCATGCTCTGTGAAATCTCCAATTCCCTGGACAAGTTTAAATTCAGATTCCCTCTCCTACATGGGGCCTCCCAGAGTTCACTGGTCTGCACACGGGCCCTCCCAGCCTGGCTTGCAGGAGCTAGCCCTTCCTTGAAGTATTCATCACTAACCTGCGACCCTGGGAGAAGTCCTTCAGATTAGTTCTCTGGGGCTGACCAGGATCTGCAGTCCCCGGAATCATAACCGACTGGCCAGTGGAGACCAGGTGGCTGCCGGGTTCTAACTCTTCAAAACCAAGCTGGAAGAAGGTATTAGTGAAACCTGGTGTCCATGGAGGAACTGAGTCCACACCTCCCTTCTGTGGGCTTGTTTGCGCATCTGTTCAATGAAATAAATGTCTCCTCTTTGTTTGGATCCACCATGGGTAAATAATACCGTCTCCCTCCTTGATCCACCCAGATCCCCAGACCAGCTCCCTGTAACCCCAGCCCTTTCTCTTCTTCCCAGGAAACTGCCTTGGCCAAACAAAGATGGACTCAGTGATAGTAAAACCTGAAGGTGAGGCTTCCTGGCCTGGCTCTGACTCAGCCCACGTCACCAGCCCTCTGTACCTTTCCCTGGTTTCTGTCCCTGGGCTCCTGTGCTGTTCTCCCCTAAGGGAGATTTCCATGGAATGACCCCCCCCGCCCCCCGCATTATAAGTACATGAAGCGTCTCAAGGATGGCCCAACTGGGCCACTGTGACAGCTACCAAGGCTAAACTACTTGGCATCTCAATGTCACTTATGGGTCCCGTGGCAATGCCAGTCTCAGAGTTCCCTGGAGGACTAACGCTGTGCTGGGCACCCTGGCCAGCCAGTGGGAGCTGGCAAGAGGAGTTATTGGAAGGGGGAGCCGATGGTACAACAGAATTCAGACAACACCCAGGGGAGGGAGGAGAGGGTTGTAAGTGTCCTTCATGCATGGTTTCCAAAGTCAGCTTTGGCTCATCCTTGAGGGAGTCATCACTGCAGGACTTGAGCCTGTGACTCTGCACATCTCACGCGCTTGGGACAAACATGGGATCCCTTGGCTTTGGACCCTTGCTTTGCCTGGTTTGTGAACTCACCAAGTGTGACCTCTTCTCTCTTCCAGTTCTGAAGCCTTCCTATGCCCTGGCTGAGGTTCTCTAGGGCACATCGTATTGACAGGATATGGATTGGAATATGGGCTCAATTATTCAGAGACTGTGGGCAGGAGCTCTGTGACCCCAGTGTCCTGGACACACCCCCACTTTCCTCCCATGGTGGAACCAACGTCCCACAAAATATACATATGGCTGAGTGGCATCAGGGTATAAAGGGACGAGCCAAGGGGCTCAGACCACACGGCACAGGTAAGGAAGGAGCAGCAGCCCAGCCTGGTGCAGGAGGAGAGGCCAGAGGGGAAGGGAGGATGAGTTGAGCCAGACAGAGACTGAACCATGAGGGACGGATGGAGAGGTTTGGAACATGGGGCTTCTCCAGGAGAAGCTTTAGACTTTGGGGAGCCCAGTGTAAGGTGACATCATGGGACCCCTTGCTAAGAGCTTAGTTAGAATGCTAGCACACTGACATTGGGGGCTCTCAGTGTGGGCCCGTGGGAGAAGTCGTCCCTGGCTTTTCTGAAGCCTTTTGCGACTGTGAAAAAAGAGGGTTCCCAAATGTTCTCTTGTCTCAGTACAGGGCCTGGAGACCTCTTATACCCCTAGTCTTTTCCTCAGAGCATCTCCCTGTGGCACCTGCATCCTCAGGAGCACCGCTGCTGTTGCTGACCTTGGCTGTCCTTGCTGGCTCCATCTGCAGACCTCAAGGTGAATTCTCACACTTGGTGTGCAATCCTGACTTCCCATGTCCTAATCTAGGCAAAAGGACGTCTGGAGGTGAGGGATTGACTGAGTTCTCTTAATGCCTTGGCTTCTGTCTCCCTTTCTTCAGAGATGCAGGGCAATCAGGGGAGAAGAGCAGGGTGGAAATTCAGGACACCCATGTCTTTCTGGGTTACGAGGACATCATGGCGGGGTGGGGGCAGCGAGCAGAGTTATAGCTTCCGGGCTTCTGTAGCATGGCCTGGCTGTGCCCACCTCTTGTGGCTCGTCTACTTACAAGATTCTCTCAGACCCCCAGCTTTACCCAGGGTTCTCTTGGTCTTCAGTTCTGCAGTCTGGCTGAGCTAGTCCACTGTCTTCAGGGAGGCAGGCAGGGAAGGACTTCTGGTTCAGGAGGGATCACAGAAGCTGGAAGGTGACTCTTCCAGATAGTTCTGGTGTCTTTAGGGCCTTTTGGTAGTGACAGAAATTACTCATACGAGCGGAGAGCAATGCAGACCCCATGTGTGCAGACCTTTACTCTACTCCAGAAAGGGAGCCAGTCCCCTGGGACAGGCCAGGCTTTGGCTGTCGTCACCAGTGTCTGCCTCTAGGGCTTGGCCTTCCCCTACAGCATCCTAAGGGTCTTGGGTTTCTGCTGTCAAGTTCGGCAAATACGAGCACAGTCCCCCAGGTTAATCAAACTGCAGATAAACAATGAACTCACTTTAAAGGTGTCTGGGCCTGTACAAATTTAGCAAAACCTCATCCTTTAAAAAGTGAATGTTGGGGTCACCGAGGAGACAGTTCAGTGAGAAAACTGCTTGCTGTGTAAATGTGAGACCCTAAGATTGGATGCCCAGCACCCACATGTGGCTTTGCTTCTTCTTCGGGGCTGTGTTTACCTTAGTCCATGAGGGTGGAGGAAGTAGAAGCAGGGAACAGGGTTTAGATGGCTGTGGGTATGACAGAGACAGCCCTGTGGGAGACAGACTTCCGGGAACCAGCCCAGCTTTATTCCACAGTACAGATTGGGGAGTCCGGGGACAAACCCTAGTCTGTATTGTGTGACACGCTCCTATCTCAAGACCTCCTAAGTGGCAGCAGGGTCCTGTAGCAGATCTCCTAACACAAGTCTTCTAGCAGGGATCTGTGCCAGGGGTCAAGCTGAAGATACATCAGGCGTCTACCCAGAGACGGCTTTCAGGTAAGGTCAGCCTTCTAGGCCCAGGATGTTCTCCAGGTAAGGGCATGCAGAGAGCAGATTTCACTGGGAAGGGAGGGAGGGAGGGAGGGAGGGAGGGAGGAAGGAAGTCTCTATGTCGCTGAGCTTTTGGGGAAAAAATTTCCTGGCCATGATAGACTGCAACCTCTGTGGTCTATGTGCCACATATCTATGTGTCTTTTATGTGCAACACCCACATAAAAGATGGGTACAGCAGGAACCCCAGTGCCATGGGGACAGAGACAGATATATCCTATGGGTTTGCTGGTCAGATTCTAGCCAAAATAGAAAGCTCCAGGTTCAGTGATCCTGCCTCAAAAAAGAAGGCAGGGGTCGGGGGAGCTGGTGAGAAGGGCCTTCCTCCACAAACCTGGGACCTGAGCTGGGACACCCAGCACTTGGGTTAACAAATTCCTAAGTGGCTATGGGTGCCTCAGTAGGCAGGCAGATCCCGAGAGCACTATGACCAGTCAGCCCAGGCACAAAGTTGGATGCTCAGAGACACATCGCCAGGCAATAAAGAGGATATAGATAAAAGAAGACACTCGGTGTCCTGCTATAATCTCTGCATAGTCACATGCATGTGCTTGCACACATGCTCACACAGTGCGTGCATACACACACTTCAGTAATGGCAACGAAGGAATATTTTAATTTTGTGCTATGTTTACAGTCTTCAGTTTTGTGAGACACGGTTCACTATGTAACCCAGGCTAGCCTTAAACTTGGAATTGTTTCATTTCATTCTCACAAGTGCTGGCGGTTACAGGCAGGCAACATAGCTACACTTTAAAAATGCAAGATTTGGAGCCTGGCTTGTGGTCCAGTCCTCTTGTGTGATCCAGTCCTCTTATGTGGTCCAGTCCTCTTATGTCCCAGGAGGCTGGGACAAGAGGATCACAAATTAATACCAGCTTGGCTACAGAGTCACTTCAAGATGAACCTAGAAAGTAAAAAGAGGATTGGGGCCTGCAGGGGGCTGAGGCAGGAGGATTTCCACCATGAAGAAGTTCAAGCCTAATTTGGGTTTCAGAGTGAGATCCTGTTTAAAAAACAGATAGACAGATAGGTAGGTTAATAGGTACATAGATAGATAGATAGATAGATAGACAGACAGACAGGTAGATAGATAGCATGTGTCGGGTTCTATACAACTCTCAGAATTTCAGAATAAGTAGGTGATTGTCTGGAAAGGCTCAGCGGGTAAGGGACTTGCTGCCCAAGCTTGGCAGCCTGAGTTGATACCTGAGCCTACATGATGGAAAGAAGAACTGACTTCAGGAAGTTGTCCTCTGACCTCCGCAAGCATGCCATGGCACAAAGAACCCCCATACAATTAACAATGTGCAAAAAATAAGTAAATAGGTAAATGCTTGGGCTATATTCACACAGAAGAATGATGCATTGTTTATCTAAAATTCAATTGAATTGGATATCCTTCCTACATTTCATGAGGAGGCCAATTTAGGTTACATCTGAGCTAGCAAGAACAACAAAACTTGGGGGTAGGACACGTCTAGAAGGCGTGGAGAGAGGACCTCTCTCTTTGCTTGGTAGAACAGCTGCCAGAGCCCTCCAGCTCCCACCAAACAACAAGCAGATTCTGTCTTGTTGGTCCCAGAAAATGACCTGCCCACTTAGGTCAAGGACCATCTCTAGTCCACTGACCTGAGCAAGGGAGTCTCAGTATAGTTGTGGCCTCATTTGGGGTGAAAGGGGAAGAGCCTCCAAAGGAGAAATTATGAGCTGGACAGACCCTGCCAAAGATTCAGGCTCAGGATGGGGCAGAGTTGGTCACCCTGACACAGCTGCCCAACCTGAGACCAGACTTTCTGGGAACCTAGGGGATGAGGCTTGTGTTCCAGAGAAGTGGAGGCAGAAAAAAAATCTGTGGGTACCGAGGTGAGGCTGACATAGCAGGGCTAAACCACTTGGTACCTCGTTGTCTTAGCTGTAAAATGGGACTGTAGCGATGCCGGCTGCGGAGCTGCCTGGAGATCCGAGGCTGTGTTGAGAACACTGGCTGTTCAGCTGGTGGGAGATGCTATGCTTCAGTTTGGAAGGAGCATGCGTGAAGCAGGTATTTTAAGTGAAGACTCTGATAAGGTCTCAGGTAACAACTCATGAAAGAAAGGGAGCTGGGGCCTATGCTGCATAGTCTCCAGGTCCAGACCTGGACTCGCCCTTCTCTGGGAAGTCATGGGCAGGACGAATCTGCTCCCCCCCGCCCCATGTGTGCTCAGGACTCTGCACATCTCGTTTGCTTGAGAAAAATGTATTTTGTGGCTTCGGGCACCTGGTTGGCCTGGATTTATAAAAATTACCAAGTGTGACCTCATAACCCCTCTTTCAGCTGTGCCCTGGTGAGATCCAACAGGCCATCCCCTGCATTTACAGAGAACAGCACGGACCATGGGGTTCATTTGCTCAAAAGCAGTGAAGGGGAACACAAACAGTGTCCCGGGATGTCTTGGATAGATCCCCACATTCTTCAGGAAACCGTGCCAAGGGCAGGACTATGGAGGTCTCACAGCCACTATGACTGAGTGGCATCAGGGTATAAAGGGACCCAGTCACTGGTTGCTGTCCCCCAGAACCACCTGCCACTCAGGTCAAAGTCCATCTCTGGTCTACTGGCCTGAGCAGAGCGGTCTCAGTGGTGGTTGCTGACTCATTTGAGGCCGACAAGGGAGGAGGTCCAGAGGGAAAATTGAGTTGGGCAGACACCAAAAGATTCAGGCTCAGGATGGGCTGCAGTGGCAGAGCTGGCCACACAGATGCCCGACATGGGCCAGACTCTCTGATTACTCATGGGGAGAGATTTGTCCTCAAGAGGCAGAGAGGTGGGAAGGTACCACAGGTTACAGGACAGGCTGACAAGTCAGAATACCAAGTGATACGTCATTATAGGCTGGGAACCAGGACAGCGCACCGCTTCAGGAAAGAGCTGGTGCTCCTACAGCCACAGCGCTTTGACTGGGTCTCTCTCCCCAGCATCCAGCTGCTGTTTGGTGAACAGCGGAGTCCCATCTACGGAGCTCAGACATCAAATGAGCAGAAGTTCCTGCTGAGGAAGGGTGAGCGTGTGACTGCTGCGGGCACTAATGACGGCATCCGTGTGTGTTCCCTGCATCTGGTGACCAGTAAAGGGTGCAAAGCCACTTTGGGTACTGAGAGAGACTATTTTCCCCTCAGAGTCTCTCGTGGCTCAGGCAAGCACGCCCCGACGATCGAGGGCAAGTACTTGTCTGGAACTTGCATCACTGCGCTGAACTTCAAGTGGGGGCACAGCCCTGAAGATTCCATCTCGGGGAAGCCAGAAGGCCCGATAGTCAGTTTGTGTGGTGCCAAAGAGACCGGTGGGGACAGTGATGAAGGTGAAAGCAATGACAGAGAAAACGCTCATGACAGCAGCGACAAGGACAGCGATAACAATGGTGGAGGCAGTAAGAAGGCCAATAGCGAGGACAGCAAGGGAGCCTGCAGAGATGGCAGTGTGGACAAAGGGAACTAAGGTCCAGACAGGGAGGACTCTCGTCCTAGGCTGCTCAGAGCTCAGTCCTGCATCCTCAGCCAAGCTCACCCACCTGGAGGGACCAGTACACCAGGTGACCCTGGGCAGGAGGAAGCAAAGCCCACGTGGCCCTGTATCTCTGTGTCCAATAAACTTTGTGCATCTCTGTGAGTCTGAGTGGTCCTTGTCACCAAATGGGATGGGTTTGAGGTCCCCCAAAGCCTCCTTTTCCTCCCCCACGTTCTGAACCTACACCTGTGCACTGAGTTAAGGTTTGCACAGAAGCCCCTTTGTCAACTCAGCAGGACTGAGGTCCCCAGGTGAGGGCAGCATCCAGCCACTGCACTGGGCCTGCAAGGAGAGCGCAGTGTGTGCTGACCAGATGGCAGGGGTGGTTTTGCAGTGCTCCCATTGAACTCCCATGCCCCTGCTCCTCCCAGATCCCCCCATTCTCCTCAACAGCCCCATCCCCTCGCTTCTTCTGTCCTGCACACTGTCCTTCCTTTAAAGCTTGGCTGCCTGGAAGGCCTTTCCCTTGCTGTCAGGAATTAATCCTAGGCCTCATGAATGCTAGGCAAGTCCTCTACCACTAAATCACATCCTTATCTGGCATTATTTATTTATTTATTCTTCACTCATGTAGGAATGAATGAGAGAGGGTCTCGCATAGCCTTAACTGGTCTACAAGAAAGAATTGCAAGTGTGCTTAGCCTAGAAAATAAGGTTTATCAAGCCACGCTCTGGAGATCATAAATAGCTGCCCCGCGCTACTGTCTCGCCTGCAAGAACCACGCGGGACACAGGATTCTTCTGCAGAAAAGCTTTATGCCTCTTGGGAGCTAGAGCATAAGCCACATGGCGGAGACCCAGATATGATGGAACCCATCCCTTATATAGGAAACAGACCCTGCTTTGGACGTGTCACTCTTGGATTGGTCAATTGTCCATAATCCCAGGTGAATGCCTCGGGAGTAGGCGGGGACAGTAGTGGAAAAATACCAACACGTGTGAGCTTTCTAGCTCACCTGGCAGTGCAGCGCCATCTATGGTGGAGAGTGTGGTTGCGGCCTTCTACAAATAGCAGAGCTGGTCAGCAGCTCAGTGGACCTGCCTAGGTCAAGAGAGGTCTCCAGACAATTCCCACGGCTTCCTCTCTCCCTGCAACATGGCAGGTTCATACCTGCCATGAGAAGTTAAAAAAAAATGAGTCTCAAAGATACTCCAATTTGATTATAATACCTCCCATGGCAAACTGATGGGAAAGTTATGTATTTCAAGTCAATGAGTGTAAATTTCAAGGTGCCTGTGTAACTGTGACCGATTGGCAACTTTCCAAGGTGTGTTATATGGCTACTTTCAAGGGAAGCTTTCAGAAAGGGTGATACAAATAGGAGGCATATTTTTCCATCTCAGTTAAGTGTATTCTCTGACTTTTGTTCACAGAAGACCCCAGGCAACTAGAACCTTCGAATGGCATTTAAAATTAAATAATCTGGGCTAGGTGTGTCAGGCCTGTAATCCAAGCTACTTGAGAGAGTAACCTGGGGAAGCAACTTGACCTCGAAAAGTTTGTTTTAATGTTTTGCAGTTTAAAAAATACTTGTTAATTTTTATTTTTTTGCATTCATGTGTTTATTGCCTGGGTTTATTTTGTCAGTTTCAATTTTTTAATTTTTTTAAAGAGAGAGAAAGAAATAAAGTAAGTAAGAAAAGGAAGGAATAAGGAAAGAAAAAAGAAAGAAAGGAAAGAGAAAAGAGAGGGGTTGGAGAGTTGGCTCAGGGGTTAAGAGCACTGATTGCTCTTGCAGAGGATCTGGTTTGGTTCCCAGCACCCATGAAAGGCAGCTCATAGCTCTCTGTAACTCCAGCTCCAGCTGATCTGACGCCCTCTTTTGGCCTCTTCTGGCATCAAGCATGAATGTGTTATACAGATGCAAAAGCCGACAAATATTCATAAACATTAAATATTAAAGAAAGGAGGCTTATACAGCTGGGCATGTTGACCTAGGACTATAACGCCAGGTAGCGGTGGGAAGATCACAGGTTCAAGGCTATTGCATTAGTCAGAGTTCTCAAGAGTAGCAGAATCTACAGAATGAATCTCTCTTTCCATGTGTGCGTGTGTGTGTGTGTGTGTGTGTGTGTGTGTGTGTGTGTGTGATTTATTAGAATAACTTAGAGGTTTTGGACCGGCTAATCCAACAACGGCTTGCTATGAACAGAAAGTCCAAGAATTCATAATTGTTCAGCCAATGAGACTGGATGTCTCACGGTCTCAGACTGAACCTGGAGTCCCAGTGAGTTCCAGGACAGGCTCCATAGCTACAGAAAAACTCTGCTAAAAGAAAAGGAAGAAAGAAAGAAAGAAAGAAAGAAAGAAAGAAAGAAAGAAAGAAAGAAAGAACGGAAGGAAGTTCTACAATCAGGGAAGCAATGCCTCAGCATTAGGACAGACGATCTTGTCAGCCAGAGTGAGTGTAAGAAGGCAAAAGCAAAAGGTTCCTTCTTCCATGTCCTTTTATGTGGGCTGCCACCAGAAGGGTGTGGCCCAGATTTATGGTAGGTCTCTCCACATCAAATTATATAATCAAGAAAACCTTCCACAGGCATGCCCAGCAGCTTCCGTATATAGTCACGTTGACAGCCAGGATTAGCTGTCACATCAGTTTACACTTCTGCATTGATAAATAGTTAAACACCGAGGGAAGTCAGCGCAGGAGTCAGGAGGAAAACTGTTTACTAGCTTGCTCTTTACCTACTCTTAGGGAGGGGGGGGAATACGTCTAAAAACAAATTTAGTGACATTTTATTCATGACCTAACAAATAAAGCTTGCCTGAAGATCAGAGCGCAGAGCTAAGCCATAGAGTTAGCCATAGAGGCCAAACAGTAGTGGCACACACCTTTAATCCCTGCACTTGGGAGATAGAGGTGGACAGATCTCTGTGAGTTCAAGGCCTCTTTGGGTTACCTGAGATTGAATTTGTCTAAAAGAGAAACAGGGCTAGCACAAAGGTGATCCTAGTATTTGAGATCACATGCCTTTAATCCCAGCACTAGAGAGGTGGAGACGGGAGCAATATGGCTGACAGGAGAGAAGAATATAAGGCGGAGGAGACCTGAGCTAGGAGGCAGTCTGAGGATTCCTAGGGACAGGACCGTCCCTTTGGTCTGAGCGTTGACAGAGGTAAGAACTCTTAGTGCCTGGCCGCTCTTCTCTGATCCTTCAGCTTTCACCCCCTGATAGCTGACTCCAAGTTGTCCTTATTAAGATCCATTAGAATTCATGCTACACTTTGTACTTCTGGGAAGAGCCACTGCATAGGAATGATCATATTAAAAGCAAAAGCAAGGGCCTGGAGAGATGGCTCAGAGGTGAAGACCATTTACTGCTCTGGCAAAGGCTCCTGGTGTAGTTCTCAGCACCGCCATGGAGAACTAAGCCCTGTGAGTTCCGTGCCAGGAGCTCCGACACCCTCTACTGGCCTCCTTAGCTACTAGGCACGCATGCGGAATACAGAAATACATACAGGCAGAACACATAAACATAAATAAAAAATATACATAAAAATAAATCTTTTTTTAATGAACAAAATCATAATCCAGTAGTGTAAATCCAAATTCTGAAGTGCTGTGTCCAATATCTGGGACTCACTCAAGATCTTCTAGGCTCCTGAGAGGTTACGTAGCCCTGCTTCTTCAGCTCCGTTGCCTGCAGCGCACACGGCTTGTCTGCCTACCAGGCTGGCTTCACTTCACACCCGCTTCTGTCTTGGCAGTCAGCCCATGGCCCTGGCAGCTCCAATATCCAGGACTTTCCACTGTCACTGAGGTCTTACCTTCACCAGTGACATTCCTTAAAGACGTCTGAACCTGCCGTATGTTTCTAAGCCTCGATCACGCTTGATGACTCATTCAATCTTGTCTCTCATGCCTTTAAAGTCAGTATCAAATGGAGAGTCTTTTATATTGCCAAGTTTGGTTGCCAACTTGAAGCAGCCTGTGCCCCCCCGCCTCAACTAGACAAGAGATTCTGTGTGCTGACCCTGGTTTCATCCCAAAAGCCTTTGTTTCCATGATGCTGGTCTCTTTTTAATCATGGTGGGTTGCTCAGCTCTGGTCAGCCAGCATTCATGTCCCAGTAAAGCAAAAGTTTTGTTTTCACAGATTCTAAAGTGAAATACATCACAAATGGCCCGCGCAGAGTGTTTGAGGAGCTCTTGGACTTCTCTCTGAAACTCATAAGCCTCCATTGTCTGTATTTCTCTCAGTGTTTTTATCCTCCAAGGCTCCCACGGGACAGCTCCATTCAACCCAAGCACCCAGTGGCTTTTACGGGTCAAAAGTTCCAAACACTTCTACAATCCTCAGAAACAGCATGGTTAAGGCCACTGTAGGCAAGCCCCCACGCTCTGTTCTGAGTTATGTTCTAGTTCGGTTTCTGCCTCAAGCTCTTTGGCTTCCCTTCGTGTTGGAGCATAGCCTGTATGGTGAAGAAAACCTCTCCTCTCTGTGTTTCATTGGATCGTTGTGTTTGCAAAATCAGCAAACTCTAATAGAGGGTCTTACTACGGAGCCCTGGGTGGTCTAGAACCTGCTGTGTGTACTGGGATGACCTTAAGCTCACAGATCCACCAGTTCTGCCTGCCAAGTGCTAGAGAGATCACTGACAGTTCTTCCTCTGGATAACCCAAGTTCAGCTCCCAATACCAAATCGGGTGGCTCAGTTCCAGGTGCACATACCGACATACAAATACACACCTACACATATTAAAATGTTGAAAAAAATAAATCTTCAAATGCATTCCAACACCTGAAGTGAAGCAGAGGCATTTCTGGGTTTCTGGATCTTGAGTCCCCTAGGCCAGGAGTAAGTTGGGGACAGTATTCGAAGCTCAAAACACACTTCAAGATAGAGCCATACCCAAACCTTGAGTCTTCTTTTTAAAGATCTATCTATCTTTAAAAAAAAATCTATCTATCTAGATATCTACTTATCTACTTATTTATTTATTTATTTATTTATTTATTTATTTATTTATTATGTAGCCGGTCTTCTGCCTGCACGGATGCCTGCAGGCCAGAAGAGGGCACCAGATCTCATTCTAGATGGTTGTGAGTTACCCTCTGGTTGCTGGGAATTGAACTTAGTACCTCTGGAAGAGCAGACAGTGCTCCTAACTGCTGAGCTATCTCTCCAGCCCCCAAACCTTGAGTCTTAGCCACCAGACTCAACCCAAACAGGGAACAAGTTGGGACTTTGTTTGTTTCCAGCACCAACATGGTGGTTCACAGCCATCTATACCTCCAGTTCTGGGGCTTCTGACACCTTCTTCTGGCTGCTGCAGGCACCAAGCACACATACGGTGCACATGCAAGCAAAGCACTCACATGCAAACTAAGCACTCACACATATAAACTAATAAAAACTTTAAAAACTTAAACAAACTCTTTGTCTTAGGGTTTCTATTACTCTGAAGGGACACCATGGACTAACTCTTATAAAGGGAAACATTTAGATGGGGCTAACTTACAGTTTCAGAGGATTAGTCCCTTGTTGTCGTGGCAGGAAACATGGCAGCATGCAGGCAGACATGGTGCTGGAGAAGGAGCCTAGAATCTACATCTTGACCAGCAGGCAACAGAGGAGAGAGGGACACTGAGCCAGGCTTGAGCTTTGGAAACCCCGAAGCCCACCCCCGGTGACCTGCTTCCTCCAACAAGGCCGTTTTCACTCAAACCACCACATTTCTATTTTGTTATGACTCAATTTGCCCAAGTGGTTAAAGTCTAATATAGTTAACAAAAAACATGGTCAGGTCTGGGGCACACACTTCAATCCCAGCACTCAGGAAACAGAGGCAGGTGGATCTCTGTGAATTCCAGGCCAAACTGGTCTACATAGCGAGTTTCAGGACAGCCAGGGCTATGTAGGGAGAACTTGTATCAACAAAACAAAACAAAAAGATTAACAAAATGCAAGGTATTATGTTGATTAGACATACATTCTTTGTTTTTTAAGTCTCTGTCACTGGGCAGTGGTGGCACACGCCTTTAATCCCATGCTCACAGAAACAGGTGGATCTCTGCGTTTGAGGCCAGGCTGGTCTACAGAGTGAGGTCCAAGACAGTCAGGGTTACACAGAGAAATCCTGTATTAGACCATTTTCCAGAAACTGGCACAACTCACTCAGACCTTGTGAACTTTGAGCTTTAAACTGCTCTTACTTTTGTTTCATCTTTCATTTTTAGTCTCAAAAAATCTCATTTATTATATAAAATCCATCTTCATTTTTAAAAAATATATTTTACCTATATCCTAAAATTTTCTATTTTATTTATTATTTTATTATTATTATTATTATTGCTATTTAATTTCTGTAAACAAACATTGGCTCCAAATTATATACATGGTACTTTTTCTTCGTTCTTTTTGAGACAGGGTTTCTCTGTGTAGCTCTGACTGTCTTGGAACTCACTCTGAAGACCAGGCTGGCCTTGAACTCACAGAGATCTACCTGCCTCTGCCTCCTGAGTGCTGGGATCACATATCAAGGTTGGACAAGACAATCTAATAGGAAGAAAGGGGTCCCAAGTGCAGGCAAAAGAGTCAGAGACAACGCCACTCTCACTGTCAGGAGCCCCACAAGAACACCAAGAAGCTACACAGCCATAACATATATGCAGAGAACCTAGCTCAGACCCATACAGGGTGTGTGATTGCTGCTTCACTCTCTGTGAGCTCCTATGAGCCCAGCTTAGTTGATTCTGTGGGCTGTGTTCTCCTGTTGTCCTCTGGCTCCTACAATCCTTCCTGCCCTCTACCATGGCATTCCCAAATGGCTGAGAAGCACTTAAAGAAGTGTTCAACACCCCTAGTTGTCAGGGAAATGCAAATTAAAACTATTTCGTTACTCCATCTTCCATCTGCTAGAATGTCTAAGGTCAAAAACTCAAGTGGCAGTTCATGCTGGGAACACTTCTCCATTGCTTGTGGGAGTGCAAACTATACAGCCACCACGGAAATCAATATGGCAGTTCCTCAAAAAACTGGGAATCAATCTACCTCAAGACCCTGTTGTACCACTCCTGGGCGTATATCCAAAGGACGCTCCATTCTACAGAAAGAACACTTGCTCAACTGTGTCCATAGCGGCTTTATTAATAACAACTGGAAACTGGAGACCACATAGATGTCTGGCAAGCAAAGACTGGATAAGAAAATGTGGTACGTTTACACAATGGACTATTACTCAGGGGTTAAAAAAAATAACATCATGAAATTTGCAGACAAATGGATAGAACTAGAAAAAAAATCATCCTGAGTGAGGTAACCCAGAGTCAGAAAGATAAACATGGCATGTACTCAGTTATAAGTGGATATTAGCTATAAGGTGTAGTGAATAATAATAAAGAATACCCATGCTACAATCCACAGACCCAGAGAGGCTAAATTATAAGAAGGGCCCACAGGGTACATGGGTCTCCCTGGGAGGAGGAACTAGAATAGATTTTGTAGGTGGACTGGGGCTGTGGGGATGGGAACAAGGGAGGTGAAGCCAGGGCTGGGATGGAGGGAGAGTGTACGGGGAAAGGCGACTGGAATTGAGGAGTTATGGAATATGGAATATGGAAACCTATGCAGTGGAAACTCCCTGGAATCGAGGAGGGTGACCCTAGGAAAAACTCCTAGCAATGGGGGATATGGAGCCTGACCATATCTTCTGTAGCCAGACAAGGATTTCAGTGGTGGGACACCAACCCAACCACAAAACCCTCAACTTGCAATTTGTCCTGCCTGCAAAGAGGGCAAAGGCTCTTCAAATCCCCCAATCGTGAGAAACTCCTGTCCTCTTCTCCCATTGGCTAGGACTTGCCCCATTCCCAATTCCCTGCGTTACTGGTTTAGGACACAGAACCTAATCTGATGGATAATTTGGGGCTTGAGACGGCCCCTTTCCTGACCCTGGGCCCAGTCACATGGCAGACTGTAACCTTCCAACAGACCTGCCACCGGCTGGGGAGAGGAGCTCCGTGTGCCCCGCTTGACTGACTCTGACGAACTCCCAGGGACCTCGTATAAAAATGAATGGTAACAGCTTCCTGCTTACACAGGCAGCCTAGCCGTGTAAGGAAGAATAGTGAGCAGGACTGGAGAAGGGAGAGGAGGAGGCAGCTGGAGAATGGGGTGATCTGGAGAGGAGCAGGAGGCCATGCCCCTGCTTAAATATAGCTAAATGGGAGCACTGCAAAACCAGTCCCTGCCATCTGGTCAGCACACACTGCGCTCTCCTTGCAGGCCCAGTGCAGTGGCTGGATGCTGCCCTCACCTGGGGACCTCAGTCCTGCTGAGTAGACAAAGGGGCTTCTGTGCAAACCCTAACTCAGTACACAGGTGTAGGTTCAGAACGTGGGGGAGGAAAAGGAGGCTTTGGGGGACCTCAAACCCATCCCATTTGGTGACAAGGACCACTCAGACTCACAGAGATGCACAAAGTTTATTGGACACAGAGATACAGGGCCACGTGGGCTTTGCTTCCTCCTGCCCAGGGTCACCTGGTGTACCGGTCCCTCCAGGTGGGTGAGCTTGGCTGGGAGGAGGCGCAATGTGAGGATGCAGGACTGAGCTCTGAGTACCCTACTCCTCCTGCTCATCTTCCTCCTCCTCCTCATCCTCCTCCTCCTCGTCCTCACTGTTCTTACCATCGCTGTCATCATCATCATCATCATCATCATCATCATCATCATCATCGTCTTTGTCCTTATCTTTGCCAGCTTTCTTCTTTTTGGAAGTGTCAAGGTTGGTCTTTGGGTTTCCTGGAAGTTGCGTGGAGCCCACAACCTGGGGGCCCTGTGTCCATTTGAAGCCCATCCCCCGGATGCAGATAAATGGTGTATACATGCCATTGACAGTCACTAGATGCTTGTCTGGACCTCCATTGTCATCAAATGGTTTGCCTTTGTTAAAGCCGAAGGTAAACTTGGTCCCCTGGTTGGTAGTGAAGGTCAGGGAGCACAGGCACCCTGCCACTTTGCCGTGCACCTTTGTCACGTGCTCTCCATCCTTCAGCCGAAAGTCTTTATAATCCTCTGAGTGGCTGCCGTAGACATCACTCCAGCGACTGCCGAACTGCAGCTGGATGCTGGAGGGAAATCAATCAGCGCACCCTCTGAATGCCAGCTCTTCCTCAAAACCAGCCCTGTCCTGGTTCAGTCTCCAGAAGTGCCCGGCTCTGATAGGGCAGCCTGAAGTTCTTCCTACCGTCTCTTCCAGACTCATCCCTCCTCACAGGGCCTCAGGTCAGGCACCTGCGCCAGGGCAGTGGGCTCTAACCCTGCAGCCCATTCTAAGCCTGACTCCTTTGCAGGGTCTGCCCAGCTCACAGTTACCCCTCTGGATCTTTCTCCCCTGTCTGCTCCAAATGAGATAGCAGTGATGGTGAGAGCCCCTCCGCTAAGGTCAGCACAGCAGAGATGGACTCACAGGACCTCAGAGACCAGAGAGCCAAGGTCTCTCCTTGTGTTATCAGGTGGGAACAGGAGGGCCCTGGAAACTGCTCTGTGATGCTAAGCAGAAAGATGACCCCTCTCCCACGTCTTCTAGATCATTGCTAATGCCAGTTTCTTCCTCTTCTTGCAAGATGAGATGTGTGTATCAAATCAGACTCCATATAAAATGCTGGAAGGAACTGGCAGTGGTGGTGCATGCCTTTAATCCCAACACTCGGGAGGCACAGGCGGGTGGATCTCTATGAGTTCAAGACCACCCTGGTCTACAAGATCAAGTTCCAAAACAGGCTCCAAAGCTACAGAGAAACCCTGTCTTAAAAAAATAAAAAAAAATGCAGGAAGGCTATCCAGTTCAATCAGAATTTCTGATAGTCGTGAGTAATTTTCAGTGTGAGTATATTTTATTATTTTTTTGACATTGATTTGTTATTTAATTTGTGCATACATGTGTATGTGTGTGTATACATGTAGGCCCACATATGCCAAGGCCTTAGTGAAGGGAGAGGAGAACCATTGGGATTTTGTTCTCTCCTTCCAGTATGTGGGTTCCATGACTCCAACTCGGGCCAGCTTGGCCAGCCTGTACCTTTCCCTGCCAGAGCCGTCTATCTTGCCAGCACTTCCTGCTTTAGCGGTACTGGAGACTGAACCCAGGGTCACACATGTGCTAGGCAAGCCAGTAAGCTTGCTTGCTTTCTTGCCTTTTTATTTTATTTGAAACAGAATCTCACTGTGTAGCCAGAATTTCCTTGAACTTCTTCACAGTGGAAATCCTTCTGCCTCGGCCTCCTGAGTTCTGACGTTACTGACATGAGCCACCATGCTGGGCTCCAACCCTCTCTTTGCTTTCTATTCCAGACGGAGTTTATGAAGTCGTCCAGGCTGAGCCCGAGGTGGCTCTGTAGCACCACCTGCCCTCACGTTTGATATTCTCTAGCATCAGCATCCGGGGAGCTGGGATTACAGGGTTGGACCTCCAGCCCAGGCTCCAATAGTGCATTTAGAAAAGGAAAGCCATATGCTCTCCAGCAGTTGTGAGGACGAGCCTGGAGGACTCTAAGCTTAAGGCCAGCCTGGGATGCAGAGTGAGGTCCTGTCTCGTGAAAGTGGTGGCTACAGACAAGCCTAGTGGTGTCTCAGGTTCAGCCCCTAGCACCGTTTATAGATATTTTCCAAACTGAATTGTATATGTAAGTGAGGGTGCATGTGGGCTTGTCCTTGTGCGTGTGTGTGGAGACCAGAGGGAAATGCTGGGTGTCCATCACTCTTCATTGGGGTATATGCATGTGGTGTGTATGTGTGGTGTGTGTGTATCTGTCTGTCTGCTGTCTGTCTGAAATGTCCATGGGGCTGCTCTCAGCTTCCATGTGGGTTCTGGGGACCCAAAATGAGGGTCTCATATGTGCACAGCAAACACTATCTGCCCAGCCTTCTCCATGTCCCCAATACGGATTTAAAGATTAAGATGACCTCAATATTGCACAGGAGACACACTAAAAGAATATTCATTGTTCATCTGAAATCCTGTTAACCTTGGGCACTGTGCTTGCATTTACCAAGCTTGGCACCAGGAACGCAAGGCCATGGAGGCACTTTAGCAGAACAACGGATCTCATGAGGCAGACACTGGTGAGGACAGTCAGAGCTGGCCTGTCCCTGGGGAATGCTCTCTGGAGCAGAGCAGAGGTCTAGAGTGGCAGAGTGGCCTGCACATTTCATGTCCTGTGGACGCAGGGCCATCTCTTAGACCATGGAATGAGTTTGTGTTGCTATCAGGGAGCCCTAAGGCCACCAGCACTATATGGAGAAGGGACCCTTCAGCCTCTGTGATTCTTTCTGAACCAGAAAGGTGGAGGTTCCTCTCTGCCTGCCTCCCTGATGACTGCCCAGTCTAACCCAAGCCTGAGCGTCCCAGCTCCGTGTAGGCTAGTCCAGGTTAGGGATCTAGACCATCCACAGGAACAGGCACAGCTGGGGAGTGCAGGAGCCAAGAGTTGGAAGCTACTCACCCCTTGATGCACTTTGTTATTGTTAAGAAGCCCCGGATGACCTTGATTTCACCCTGATCTTCACCATGAACGTAGAAATAGGTGCCAACTTTTCTGCCCAGTATGTCTGGAGAAAGAGAGGCAGAAGAACACTCAGGGTCACTCCCTCACTCAGGGGCCCTTACGCCTAGGACAGGATGCAGGAGGTGAAGGCCACAAAGGAGGCTCAGGTACTCACTCTGGGCTCTGCAGGTGGGGCCAGCAAGGAGGGCCAAGATCAGCAGCATCAACATCGCTCCTGAGGGTTGGGGGCACAAGCCTGGGGCTTGGAAGTCACAGGGAGATGGCAAGTCTTCAAAAAGGCTCTGAGGAAAAGACATCAGATTTAAGGGATCCCAATACCCAGATTGAGACAATGGAACATTTGAGAACCCTCTTTTCCCATGTGCTCCAAAGGTTTCAGAATAACCCAAAGACGGTTTCATCCACATGCCCATAGTGAGAGCCCCCAATGTCAGTGTGCTAGCATTCTAACTAAGCTCTTAGCAAGAGCTCCCATGATGTCATCTTACTGGGCTCCCTAAAGTATAAAGCTGCATCTGAAGAAGCCCCATATTCCAAACCTCTCCATCCATCCCTCATGGTTCAGTCTCTTGCTGGCTCAACTCATCCTCCCTTCCCCTCTGGCCTCTCCTCCTGCACCAGGCTGGGCTGCTGCTCCTTCCTTACCTGTGCCGTGTGGTCTGAGCCCCTTTGGCTCGTCCCTTTATACCCTGATGCCACTCAGTCATAGTGGCTGTGGGAATGGTTTCTGGAAATGCTTTGTCAGCTGGCCTTCAGAAACTGGACTTTTGCCAAACCCTGTAAGCAAGATGTTCATATGCTTTGCAACCATTTAAAACTATGTAGGCGATACGCTTTCCTACTGTGTACTCAACAAGTTTAAATTTATTTTGACTTTAAGAAAACAATGTAACCAATCTTACCGTGCCTGGGAGTTCCATGTAATCAAGTTTTACAAGCTAAACTGAACAAACAGTTTTAAAAGGCTAGGTCAGACACAGCAAGGGAAGTAAGAAGGAGCACATCCAGGTTAGGAACTGTCAATCAGCAGAGGAGAGTGTTTATCAGAGGAAAATGAAAGAGAGGAGGGCCAGGATGATGAAGAAGAGTTTCTTCCTCCTCCTCTTCCTCCTCATCCTCCTGATGAGACAGACTTAGAATAAAGGGGAAGTTGGGGAAGTGACTGCCAACACAAAAGCTGTGTTTAGAACAAGGCAAGCTCCTCACACAAGAGCCACCGATCTGATCTATGTGCGTCTTGAAGGAACGTGTCGCCTTTGCCGTCTCGGCCCTTATTGTGCGCTGTTTGCGCCACTCGATAATGCGAGGCATCCTGGCTTGCCAAGAACGAGTGGTGAACAAAGTCAGGCAAAAGGCTGTAGAAGGCCGTCAGAAGAACAGCTCTGCGTATCGCAGGAACAATCCCTGTTTTCTGCAGTGACCCCTCCATAATAAGCTCACACCAGGTATTCTGTTTCCCACACGCCCTTTCACCGCCTGACCCAGAATGATGTATGTGTGTTTGTCTGTGTTCTAACCTGTTGAGAGCAGCAGATTGAAGGCAACCTAGAAGATAACAAATCTCCACCATAAACGTTGGAAGCAACATGTGGACTCAGGTTGCTAACATCTGTTTCCTGGTTTTGTTTGTTTGTTTGTTTGCTTGTTTTTTATGCTCTACTGGGTCAGTAGGGACCAGTAGAGAAATTTCTTCCCTTGTTAAAATAAAAGTCTGGTAACAACTATTTGTTTGTTTGTTTCTCGAAAAAGGGTTTTTTTCATATAGCCCTGTCTGTCCTGGAACTGAATCTATATAGTCCAGCATGGTCTCAAACTCAGAAATTGGCCTGGCTCTGCCTTCCAAGTGCTGGGATCAAAGGTGTGTGCCACCACCACATGACATGGCATTAAGACAAGATTTCACCCACCTTTTCCCTTCCTTGTTTCAATCTGCTGTTCAGTAAGCAGCAAAGGTGGCCTTCTGCTCAACGGGGAGGAACCAATGAGGTCTGTCTGGTTTGCTCTTCCTTCAAATGACTGCTAGAAATAAGTGCAGGGTTTCAAAAAGCCACTCAACATGGCCAAGTTTCCCTTCTGACAGAGGTAGGAAGAGCAAGTCCTCAGGCAGGAAATTCACCTGGTTTCATCCAAGTCCAAGGGACTGTGTCTTCTACCCATTGGCTGGTGCAAAGGATTTCACGGTTGGTTGGTTGTTTCATTTGAAAGGAACTGGTGCAGAGAGAATGAAGGAAAGCAGGAAGGGGTGGGCTGCTCAAGTTCTGGGAATGTCGCAACCTTTGAATAGGGGAGAATCTACATGGTTCTGCATAAGGGCTGGATGCACAGGGGTTAACTGCGCATGTTCCTCAGGGTTCAGTTCCCAGGACCTAGATGATGGCTCACATCCATCTGTAGCTCCAGTTCCCTGATATCCGGTGCCCTCTTCTGACCTCTGTGGGGACCAGTCACACATGTGATACACATGCATACATTCAGGCAAAACACTCATACTTATAAAATAAAGTTCAAAGTATTTTTAGATTTCCATACATTTTACTAAATGGTGAAGATTTAAAAATTTGCATAAATCTTACAAGGTAGGAGTCATTAAAAGGTTTACATAAACTTTACAATGTCGAGGAGACTGCAAGATGTAAAATTGTAGTAAATAAGCGTTTTATTGTGTTTGATAGAAAAAACTAATTTAACATTTATTATAAATCCATCATCTAATATCTAAACATCGTTTTCTTCAAACTCATTAACAAGGCATTGGCTCTTTTTTTTTTTTTCTGTCGTATCATAAAATAAGAAGCATGTGCGGCCAGGTGTGGTGGCCCATGCCTTAAATCTCAGCACTGGGGAGGCAGAGGCAGGAAGATCTCTGAGTTCAAGGCCAACCTGGTCTACTGAGGGAGTTCCCTGACAGCCCAGGCTACATGAAAAAGCAATGTCTCAGAGTCAAAAAGAATGTGTGTGTGTGTGTGTGTGTGTGTGTGTGTGTGTGTGTGTGTGTGT